AGAATTAAAATGGGACGTGTTAGGGTATACTTAATCAGAAATGCATGACCAAAATTATATTTGAAAAACGGAAATAGCGTACAACCGAAAAATTACAGGTGAAATAGTCCCCCAAACAAAAGAAATCGCTTCTGGTGGATTTTCCACTACTGGGGTTAGAATGGGTTTCTTGTGTTTGACGCGCTGCTCAATTACAACGATCTGGACGGTGCCCTGTCTGTTTGATTCTGCCTTGGATATTTTATTCGCCGTAAAGAGATTTTTCTGTCTGCTCACCCTAGTGTCAACTTATGCCTTATTAGTAATAACATTAAGGATGCCTTCAGTTGTCTATTCCCTGGCAGACATTCATTGTGTGGAATAGGACCGATGCGAACCATCACCAGACAGATTATATAGTATATAGATGCGGAAACCATGTCTACATATCAGCCAATGAAAACCTTTGTCACACACAGCTGCACCATTGCGCCGATGACTTTAGGCCACGCCCCCAAATAGTTTTCTCTTGGAATCCGATAACAAAGCATGTGATTTCACCTCGACATTTAAATACTTTTACTCTTGAGAATTGACCTAATGTATCAAGCAAAATTGATATTCGGAACAAAATCGCAATCAATTTTTCCACTTACATGCCCTTTAAGCCCTCTGTTTGCACCTTACTCAAGTTTTTTCCATTTTCCAAAGGTCACAGACCCGATCTTATTTTTACATACTTGCACAGCGAAACAATTTGCTTAATCATCTCAAGCTTTTATGGATATACCTCTATGAAACATTTGGTGGATAAACACGTTTGGCCGTTATTTGTAAAATTTGGGCTGATCAGAGTTCAAACTTACTACACATTGATTGACACTCCCTAAAGCTTACTTGTTTCACATTTTGTTAGGTACGATCGAGCACGCTCTTTCTTCGAAGATTTCAGAGCGCACCATACATGTACGACTCTTGCTAAAAAATTGTTATATCAGGTTTACAAAATCCAATGCCTCAGTGTAGTATAGTATATCGAAAAGTGTTCTGGTAGATACGTAGAGGGCATTTCAAACTTTGAAGCATCTGTGACAAAAATGATTTCCGATGAAATTCCCTATTTTGACTTGGAGTATATGTTACCACAGACCATGTTGTGACGTCGCCGTGATCATTTGTCAAGAGCGTAAAGGTTATTGGCGATTAAGAGTGGGTGCAGAACATAACATAAGCCCACCAACGCAGATGACAGACCTGATTGCAACATAAGGTAAACTATTTAGCTCTTTAGGTCCGTACAACCTGTATGAAAGCAGTGCCCAGCGTAATATGGCCGAGTTTTCGCTTATCCAATAACGAAATTAACATGGAAGGTCAGGATATATAGCTAAATACAAATGTTTCGGGTGTTTCCTGAATGTTGCTAAAGCTTAAACAACACATTTCTGTTGCAACCAATGCGATGAATAAATAGAGCACCCATTTCTTAGAGAGATAGCACATTTCCTAACAAGATTAAGGACATATCGGTAGCAGTAAGACTCTTGCTGATTTGTATTGTTGTTTTTGCATGATGTTGTTTGTTTGTTGTTTAACCAAATAATATTCCAGCTATATGACAGAGGTCTGTAAATAACCTGGACCAGGCAATCCAGTGACCGGCAGCATGAGAGTCGATCTACGCAAATAGGATACGATATCATGCATCAACCAAGTCCGTGAGCCTGACCACCCGATCCTGTTCATAGCCTCTCACGAAAAGCATAGTCGCCTCTTGTGCCAAGCATGGGTTGTCCCCAAGGGAATAGACTATATGACCCTTGACGAACGATATCAGATCATCAACATACCCCAAGCTTATTTTAAACGTCTTGGCCAAATTCCCTTATTTGGATTTTGCCAATATGAGAAGACATTCCGATTCATATACATAAAGAAACAACTCAACAAGACGGGAAGCAAATTCGGTGCCGATGGGGTTGCCTACTGCTGGCCTTAATGTTAAATCCCCAATTCTCACATACATGTTATCAAAGGGGGAGTCCAGCATTTCACGTATCGTTTTATGACATTTACTTTCCTTTTCGACAAATTGTCCTGCACCTCCGAAAATAGACATGTAACGATACTTATGGACACCACGTCAAATTGTATATGTGTACTGATCCAACGAACTGATTCTAGAAAGAGCATCTACAATCACATTGTCTTTTCCCTTGATATGCTAGATCTAAAGATCAAAATCTTGCAAGGACTAGCTTCGCCTGATCAATCTTTGATTTTTGTTCTTCATCTTACGAAGAAAAGTTAACAGACTGTAATCAGCAAACACTCCAGTGGAATGCATAGTAGTTACATGTACCAAATACACCTAAAATTGTTGCAATGACAAATCAGAGCAACGATATTTGTCTTAGTTGTAAGGCGTTTTTTTCTGGTGCCTGTCAAAGGTCTTTGAAAAGTAAGAAACAGGGTTGCCATACCATGACCACTGGCATCTTAAAAACATGTTGCTTTCAAAGCTGAAGAATCCATGAGCATGGCTTTTACTATTTCAAAAGCGGCCTTGCAGTAGTTATCCCAAAGATATTTAATCTTTTTCGCCAACAAATAAGTGAGAGTGGCCACTACATCACTGACAATGTTTTTCTGTAGCTACCAGCATTAACACTGAAAAATCTTAAGTTTGTTTGTCGGAACTGGGAATTATGCAATAACTTCTACTTTGGCTTTGGTCAGATGTACCTGACCTTGACTGACTACATGACGTAAAGACCTCCTTAAGTTCACATTTTGTAAGATTTCTCATAATTGTTTCTTGTGATAGTCGTTTAAAGAAGGCACGGATCCTGTACCAATGATAGTCCCACTCCATTTAATGGCTGATGATGTAAATCTATCCCTTGTGGGCCTGAAGTGACGTCATCGATGAAGCATTGAAAGCAGATAGGTGCGTTTTAAACCCAAATGGCACAACTGATAAAATCCATATTGTGTAGCAAAACACTAAAACCTTCTATGCAGTCTCAGTTGGTGAGATCTAGTAATACCAGTTCAAAAGTTCCAGGAATACGTCATCAATTCTTGGCATGAGAATGAGTCACCTTGGGGGATGTCTGGCTTGGGTACCAGGATGCATAGTGCACTCAACTCACTGATACTTGGTTCGAAGAAGTTGTTCTCCAACATATATTTAACATGTTTTTGTGCACCAATTTGGTTCATGCAATACGAATTTTGTTCAATGGGCAGCGCATTACCAACCCCTATGTCAAGTCGCTACAACCAGGTACACCCGGACACAAATGGGTTGGTTGATTTGTTGGTTTGTTGTTTAACGCCGCACTCAGCAATATTCCAGCTATATGACGGCGATCTGTAAATAATCGAGTCTGGACCAGACAATCCAGTGATTGATATCATGAGCATCGATCCACGCAATTGGGATCGATGACATGCTTCAACCAAGTCAGCGAGTCTGACCACCCGATCCCGTTAGTCGCCTCTTACGACAAGCATAGTCGCCTTTTACGGCAAGCATGGGCGAAGTTCCGAATTAAATCTGACAACTGTCTTTTGTTCTGGAGTACAGTGAGATAATTTCAAATCAATATTGTTCAACAACTGAGATTCTTTAGGCCCAGGGCTAGCCTTCTCAACCAAATCTACAAATCAACAGGATACACAGAAGCAACGTGTTTGATGACAAACAGGTTATAATATTCCTTCATCATATTCAAACGACACAAGTTGACAACTTTTTTGGGTGTTTGTACAATGTAGTCAGTGTGGTCAAGTACCAAGTAGTTTAAAAGATGCGCCAGTTACTCCTTTACTGAAGAAATAAACCCTGGACCCAAATGACTTTAAGAACTTTCGACCAGTTTCCAATCTTTCATTTATTTTCATATGGCTTGAGAAGGTTGTTGCAGACAGACTGCTTGGTCATCTCCTGTGGAACTTTCCGCTTGAAAAAGTACCAGTCAGCATATAAAATCAAGCACAGCACCGACATTGCACTTGTGGATGTCCATAATGACACAGGGAGCAATGGATCAGCGGGGTATCACACTCCTTGTGCTACTGGACCTATCAGCGGCGTGTGACACCATCGACCAGTAGCCTCCTACGTAGGCTGGAAACAAGACTTGGACTAACCGCTCGTTAGATACGTTTTGAAAGCATCTCGTTGTAAGAAAGATGGTATCTGACAGACACTCGTGTAGTAACCTCTATATCTCCTTGTGACTCAGGGTGATAAGCACTAGACCTGATCTGTCTAATTCATCTGTGTCTGGGCTTCAAAAGGACAGCGGGGATTTTCTGATTAGGTTTTTGCTACCATCGAACATGCGTGACAAGCTTTTTTAAGTCTTACAAACTGTGACACCTCCTGACGCAACCTCTGCTAGAAGAAAAGAGCTATAGTGTTGTTAACACCCATATGACCAACCATAGGAGTATTGTGGGTTAAAATCATCACTAGTTGACGATGTCTGTTTAGAACTACAATCGGGTGAAAACCTTTGCACTCAACCTCATTAGAAGCTTTGGTGGGTCTCCATTATCTCATCAAAACACCATTTGGCAGTAAAAATAAACAGGTATCTTGACAACGTTTATTACATTTACGATTTCAACCAACCAGAGGCAAATGTATAAATTCAGAAAATGATATATAAATAGTTTCCCACTTTGTTTCTTTAAGGGGGCAAAGTGGTTAAAGCGTTCTTTCCTCACGCCGAGACCCAGGTTCGATTTCCCGCATGAGTACAATGTGTGAAGCCCATTTCTGGTGTCCCCCGCCGTGATATTGCTATTATATTGCCAAATGCGGCGTAGAGCCATACTCACTCACTCACTGTTTTCTTAAGCATCACCTATATAGTTTACTTACTCTGAAACATTAGCTAGTGTATGTATATTTGTGCTTATATTGCCAATGTAGCCTATGTCACAACCGGATGACCCAACTGCACGGAACAAAAGTAATTATATACGACAAATAAAAACAAAAACAGTTTAAACTAGAAATAATTTATTTTCCTTATTCGAATATTTACATTTTTAAAAACATAAGTTTGTATTTTGCCTATCTTCAAGTGTTTTGTTGCCTGGCTACACATGTTTCTGCCTGTTAAACCTCAACGTAGCCTTGCGGGTAGTTGATGACGATGCCGCTCGGGCAGCTTGGTTTGGGGCAGCACTTGCCAGTAGGCGGGGCCAACAGCTTACACGCCGGGGGCAGCTGCCATTGCAGACATCTGAAGATAGATAAATAATTATAATAATAATAATAATAATTTTCTGTTCCTTTAGACACAGGAGAAACATGTCAAATATGCGGACCTCGCTTTCGAAATGTCACGCTTGCATCCCAAGTACCAAGTTGTCCCAGGTTTGCTGCCAGGAATTACAGCCTTCTGACAATCTGGGTGATGCAGAAGGCTGCAGTGTTGGGGAGTCTTCACATTCTCCTAAAATTACGACTATATATGTCGTTTTTTTCTAATTGTTTTGCTTTTGCCAAATACGTGCATTTTATTCCAGAAATTTATATTTTGATGTGATCTACTTAATTCACAACATCACTCAGTTGTTGACATCTTTTCTTACACATGCACTGAATATTAGTATTAATTTTTTTTTCAAATACACTAAATGTATTTTTCTATATATAATATATACAGAATGAAGTCCAAGAAGTATGAAGCCATGTGTGTTTAACTTGGAAAACTATAAGCGGATGGCATGCGTTTAACGTGGGAGGTGTGACTTACAGGGCGGTACAGCGGTACATGCCCTTGCTGGCATCTGCACAGGTACATTGGTAGTCACAGCCGTCGCGCCATGTCTTGCCCTGCTCATACTTCTGGCCCTTGTACTGACACATATCTGGAAACAAATGACAGCGGTGCTTGATGACAGTACAACGGTCCACATACAACAGTTGCAATAATGCTGATACATTCACAACTCATTGGCCCTCCGTCACATTAAACACTTTGTATTGAAGACATATCAAACGAAATAGTATATATATATATATATAAATGGGAATTCCAGTCCAGAGAATATCAGTCTAAATCGTGACAATATGTAAGTTGTTTTGTGATTTAAGGCCCCCAAAATATATGACACCATTCTGAAATAAACATTCGAGTCTGAACCAGACAAATCAGTGATTGATATTATGAGCAACGTCCCACATCGTGCATCTTCCCGAGGCAAGGGAGTTAATAGACTATAAAAGTCCAGTTTCCACCCTTGCCGAACTAGAATGGTATTCCTGGGCTCGACCGTAGCGCCACCAGTGGTTATTACGAGTTATGTCCCTTCTAAGCCTCTCATATGGACCAATCAGATTCCACCTCTCGTATCAATTGCATTTGTTTCAAACAAAATGGCGGCGCCCAGTCAAGACGATCTGATCGATAATCAAGATCTAGGTAACCGAGTCTGACCAACTGATCCATGAGACAAGTATAAGCAGTTGGGGAAAAGTATAAACTGTTGGGGACAAGTATAAACAAATACAACTTTTTTATGCTATGTTCTAGATATTCAGTGTTTGAATGGAGGTCACGCCCCCCTATAATCGGATGGTGTCAATGTCATGGGCAACTCACTCTGGGTTTGGCCACAGTCCGGCACACTGCAACACTCTCCGGGCTTCTTCACCAGCGTACAAGACGGGTCCAGGTTGTTGTAGATCGGACAACTGGACAACGAGAGAGAACAATCGTAGACAACGTCCCGTTAACAGTTGACGGATATGTTTATACAGCTGATAGAGATGAGTACATGACTGTACGCCACTGCTGTAATGAATGTTGTGAGAATGACATGGCCAAACACCATTAATACAATGGTCGTACTGTCAGTGATATTCTTTCTTTGCAATACTGTAACAACGGTCAAACTAGGCCTTTTCCCTCTCTCGAGGTTTAACATTTTCAACCAAAACCTAGGAGTCGTGTTTTAACCATAACATAACAATGACGTACGTGACTGCGTGTATAACCGACAGTGAATTGACAACGCGTGTTTTACTTACAGTCCTCTACAGCTGTAGGAACCTTGGCTTCCATCTACACAAGTACAGTTATATTCGCAGCCGTCGGCCCAGTTCTCTCCTTCCTGGTAGGTCTTGCCCTTGTACAGGCACACGTTAGCTAAAACAAAGTCATCGTGATTGGAAATCTTCAATTAAGTCAGCAATGCAATATATATGAGTTCAACGGTTTGGCGTCCCTGATGGTTATAACATAAGGCGAACGTTTTCATTGACCGAATCGTAGACTTTATGGATATCTACTTTTCCTGTGTATAATGATACTAACACGGATATAACCATGTAATTGAAATTCCTTAAAATAGTGGAGATATCGGGTTTTTCTATGATTTTTGGTTTTGGCTTGGTTTGTTGTTTAACACCGCACTCAGCAATATTCCAGCTATATGACGGCGGTCTGTAAATAATCGAGTCTGGACCAGACAATCCAGTGATTGACAACATGAGCATCTATGCACCCCTGTGATCTCAGTACTTACTTTGACCTGTGACTGGGGCTGGTGTTGTGTATTGCGAGCTGCCACCACCTGTCAGAAAACAAACAAACCTGTGAGACTTGTTGCATCGTTAGAATGTTGTCCTGCCCATATATCAATACATGTCCATCCCGAGTTGGCAGTGAGTGAGTCTGTCAGTACTATTACACCAACATCACAATGGTTTGTCAATAATTCATCGATGCCACTCAAACACCCAGGTGGCACATTGTAACCACCATCAGATGAGAGTGATGGGAGCCTTGTGTGCCAGGGAACCCCGACAGTGTTGACAGACCACTGGGAGAGTGATCTTACACGTACCTCTACAGCAGACACGTCAAGTGGCTGGTAGTGAACATGGGGTTGAAAAAACTACAGCTCAGAGGATATCATTCTAGCTGATCAAAGGATGAAAGTTTGTCGCCATTGATGACACAAGAAATTAACTTTGTCTTGTTTAGCAACATGTATTTCTAATTTGCTCATGAAACATTTGAAGTATGTGATATACATCGGCCAGGTATGTCACTTACAGTTTCCTCCATGGGCGAGAATAGCGAAAACATCTCCCGACTGAGGTTGGCCTGAAACAGATATCATTCCACGATATTAATAAACTGATATACACCGTTATCTTAGAAGAAGAGTGTAACCAAATACAAACTACGGTATGAAAAACAGGAACAGTTACAAGGCTTGTATAAGTAAGTGAATATGCTTTTGAGGCGCTTTTAGATATATCTAACACAAGTAATGGGCTTCACACATTGTACCCATGTGGGGATTCGAACTGGGGTCGAACTGACGAGCGAACGCTTTAACCACTAGGCTACCCCACCGCCCGATGTGTACTGCCCCTGTATGTGCTGGACGTCATTACCTCATGACTCATGTATTAGAGGTGAGGTGAGATAAAATGGGGTTTAACGTCGCGTCCAAGATTATTGCACTTATATAGCACGTGTGTCTGTGTGTATGTGGCTGCTTGTACTAGTCCGGACTGATGCCGATTTGTAGTGCTAGCTCACTGAGATACCATGCCGCAGTTTAACATGAATACCCCACACAGACACAGTATACTGACTTCGAGCCGACCAGTCCTTGTTTTATCCCCTTAATGCCGAGCGCCAGACAGGGTAACAACAAGTACTATCTTTTAACGTCTTTTGGTATGACGCGGCCGGGAATCGAACCCCGGACATTCCGCTCTCCGCGCGAACGCCCTACCACTAGACCACGGAGGCGGTCCTCATGTATTAGACTTAAAACAAGCACTATAGTAGCGTGACAGAGTACACGTGCTAGTTTTACATCTTAACTCACTCAACGTACGAGACGTAATTCGCCTAGACTACAACTTCCATGCTTTGCGTATTTATAGATGGCTACAACATACATGTACATGTATGAGACGTTATTTGTGAAGGTGACGTCTTGTCTTTACTCACTTGTCTGCCAGTTAGCCACTGTGTTGCCAGGGGCGTAGTAGAAGGCGGGTTTCTTGCCGCTGGGGTTCTCGTAAGGACATTGACCTCTAGTGGACACCATCATCCATCCGCTACTAGAGCAGCCGGACCCAGTGTTGCTCATGTAGAACTCACGGCCAGTTAACGAGTCACTGTACAATACACGACACAGTTAATAGCAAGCCCAACCCCGGGGATCACAGAAAGATTTCAGCCCGTAACCTGTACTGCCTAGCATTATTTTTTGAGGTGACAGAATAGTTTTACATACATATAAAATATTTTGCTCAGCAAAGGGGATCGAAACACTTTTTATTAACATATTTTATTACGAACTAATTATATTTTTGGGATAAAATTTGAGGACAATTTATTCTTTTCCAGCATTTTCGGGCACAAATGGGGTTTTTTCTGGAATTGTGATACAGAGTATAGTGTTTCACGAATATATTGTAAATAGACACCGCTAGAAGAGATGCGACCAGACTCGTTCCTGTGTTGTCGGTACTTACCCAGCCATCTGGAAGAAGTTCTTGGGAATAGACTTGATATCTCCCCAGGAGGAGTCGATAATCCTGCTCGGGTCGAACCAGCTCATCTTGTCAGCTCCAACTGCGTTGAAGGTCACATAGGCCTTCTGAACTCCCTGGTTGTAGATAGCGACTCGGATCTGGGTAGCAACACAGGCGTTCTCTTTACTTACAGTGTAGAAACATGCATAACGGCAACACCAAGGAATAATCATTCTCGAATATCTGCCGAAACATGGGGTAGTTTAGGCACCATTGTAATGACAATTATTTGAATGTTTCAATAAAAATAGATGACACCAGGTTTTAACGAAAAAGGTAAACTCAACCGTCAGCACCGGTCACGTGCTGGAATGAAGTGTCGTAACAAACCCTATGTAAAACGATGATTGATTATTTTTAAAGGAATATATTTACAATATTGAAGTATAATATTTAGACCCGAAAGTGATTCTAAGGGACGCAACTCTGCGCAGCACCGCCCCGCCTCTCCAAAAAAACTATCCAATAAAGTATTGGATGTATGTAAAACTATTATCTACATTGATAACTATAATGTCATCCTCGGTTGGTTAATTTATTATTTGCTTCACATGGTTTAGTTGACTTCTGTAATGGCCCAAACACAGAAAGGTTTCGACAGTAGAGCGACCCAAGTTCCCACCTGGTCAAAGTGGCAGTTGATCCAGTGGTTGGACAAGTCAGGTTTGTAATGTCCTGGGTAGGTGCTGGTCAGATACATGGCCTGGGGTTGGTTGGCGTTGATGGTGCCAGGGGAGGACCACAGACTGTACAGGTCTCCTGGCATCCCTGCCACGCCCTTCATCAAGATGGTCCAGTTAGGTGGAGGGAGGCCGTAGCCTGTATTTCCGGTGTGTGGCGACGAGGTCGCTTCTGTAAACACAGCTTAGTCATTATGGTAGTAAGTGAGTTGGGTTGAGTTTCAGTTTAGTGAAGGCGAAGCGAAAACTAGACATTTGCCACCATTGTGAAATAATGAATGTGGGTGATTCACACCGAGGATAATAATCGAACCTACGACTAGTGGATCTTTCCACGGCTAAGGGTGGCAACTCTACAGAGAATTAAGGTTGTTGAATACTATGACAACATTTGATACACTGATTACTATATGTTGTCTATTGGAGATATCCTATCGCTTTTCCATAATTCTTGGACTGTCAAGTGGACGATTGTCCGTAACACTACTTACTGCAGTAGCCACAGGTCATCGCACAGTTGTCGCGAGCCCATGACTCATACTGTCCACTGCAAGCGAAGCTTCCATACTGTTTACAGTTCGACAGCTTGTCCACGCAGCTGGACTGGGATGGGGCCGGGGTGTCAGGGGCTGGTGTTGAACCTGGAGACACGAGGTGGGGTGTGAGCTCTGTGTAACGGTGAGGTGAGGTGAGGTGAAATGGGGTTTAACTTATCTATCGATGTGTATGCATATGCGCGTGTGTGTGTGTGGCTGCTCGTACTTGCCCGGAATAACGCTGCCTTTCTAATGCGAACCCACTGAGATACCACGCCGCAGTCTATCATGGAAACCCCACACGGTATACAAACTCAGCGCCAAACAGTCCATGTTTTATCCCCTTAATGCCGAGAACAAGGCAGCGAAACAACAAATACCATTTTTTAGCGTATTTGGGAATAGCTGCATAATGTAAGCGTTGGTGTCATTTAGCATCTGTATTTACAGTTACCGCTATCCTGTAACTGTAGTCATTAGACTACATCTCACACCCAATCAATGACAATAAACTAGTACAATCCCGTGTCAACTTCAAGACAGGGGCCTGTCGAGGTCTCCGGACCCCGTTCCTGAGAGAGATCGTAGCGTGAATCGTAATGTTTAATGTATGGGATTGAGGACAGGTGCAGCAGTAAGATCGCTCGGTGGACTTGGTCGACGTACTCACATAGGTCACAGTATTTCCTGCAGTTGTCTCCCGCCCAGCCGAGGTACAGTCCGCCACAAGATGCCTTCCCGTACATAGCGCAGTTGTCAAGTTTGTCCACACATGGAGGCTCGGTAGTGGACACTGTACGCTCTGAAATAAGATGACACAACTATGACAGTGTTGCCATTGTGATGACGGGACTTCTAGCATTATCTTGTTGCTGTGGAGGGAGGATATTACAATGACTGCGGTGCCATGTCCATGAGAGGATGTACACATGCCGGTGTTGCTGACAGTGGTGTCAGGTTGATGAGGGGCTGTACACAGGCCAGTGTTGCTGACAGTGGTGTCACATTGATGAGGGGTTGTACACAGGCCAGTGTTGCTGAGAGTGGTGTCACATTGATGAGGGGCTGTATGCATGCCAGTGTTGCTGAGAGTGGTGTCAGGTTGATGAGGGTCTGTACACTGGCCAGTGTTGCTGACAGTGGTGTCAGGTTGATGAGGGGATGTACACATGCCAGTGTTGCTGACAGTGGTGTCAGGTTGACGAGGGGCTGTACACATGCCAGTGTTGCTGACAGTGGTGTCAGGTTGACGAGGGGATGTACACATGCCAGTGTTGCTGACAGTAGTGTCAGGTTGATGAGGGGATGTACACATGCCAGTGTTGCTGACAGTAGTGTCAGGTTGATGAGGGGATGTACACATGCCAGTGTTGCTGACAGTGGTGTCAGGTTGACGAGGGGCTGTACACATGCCAGTGTTGCTGACAGTGGTGTCAGGTTGACGAGGGGATGTACACATGCCAGTGTTGCTGACAGTAGTGTCAGGTTGATGAGGGGATGTACACATGCCAGTGTTGCTGACAGTAGTGTCAGGTTGATGAGGGGATGTACACATGCCAGTGTTGCTGACAGTGGTGCCGGGTTGATGAAGAGCTGTACGCATGTTGCTACAGTGTCACAGTGACAGCAGCATGCCATTGTTGAGATAAAGCTGATGTTAGCAGCAAGGCGTTGCCATAGGTGACGACAAATGAAGGGAAGGAAAAGGCGATTTGAAACAATGAAACCTCGTAATTCCGGACGATTACCTTTTTTGAAACGTCAGTTATCAATACATTGTTAAAGGATATGGCCATTTATAACTCAGTATGAATTATTCCGGACATTTTGCAAATCCAGACGTGTGTTCACTATTAGTACTGATCTGATTAACAGGGTTTTGCTATATACACATTCGCGAATCTGTGGGCCCCGGGTGCAGGGTACGTTGTTTAACTGAACAAGGTGGCATGCGTGTACATGTAGGTTCTACTCACGACAAATTCCACAATAGATTGGGCAGTTCTCTCTCGCCCAGGTTTCGTAGGGAGCTTTGCAAGAGTATTTGCCGTAGGCAGCGCAGTTGTCCAGCTTGTCGGTAGGGGGACAGACTCCTTGCGGTGAGACGTTGGGACCACCCGTGGTGGGGTTGGGTCCGGCGACGGTTGGGGACTGGCAGGACACCTGTTGACAACACTGCCTGGGCACGCTCATCATGCGACACATGGGAGGCAGTCGTGTATATGTGGGACACCTGGGAGAACATATGGATATTGTCATATATAAGAATTGTTTGTTTGTTTGATGTTTAACGCCGCACTCAGCAATATTCCAGCTATATATATAGAGAGAGAGATATATATATAGAGAGGGAGAGAGATAGATATAGATATAGATATATAGATATATATATAATCGAGTCTGGACAGGACAATCCAGTGATTGACTTTATGGGCATCGATCGACGCAATTGGGATAAGATGACATGCACCAACCAAGTCAGCGAGTCTGACACCCGATCCCGTTAGTCGCCTGTAACGACAAGCATGGGTTGCTGAAGACCTATTCTGGACCTGGGTCTTCGCGGGTTTCGTATATGAGATAGCTACACGATAAATCGCAAAAAACGATTAAGAACGTATCCCGGCGGCCGGACAACAGAAATTTTACCCGTTTAATCCACGACAATGCGGGCGGTTGATTGGTGTAGGGAAATTATGGTGGGGAATGAGGTCACCTACTTAGGTATGCATCTGTAACGGCCGGTGTTGGCGTCGAGGCACTCGCAGCTGAAGTCACAGCCGTCGTCCCACTTCTGACCCACCTGATACACCTTGGACTTGTAGACACAGGCATCTGAGAAGGAAGGGATGCGTTAACATCCAATACATCAGCATGCAAAGAGATTGCCTTTGTCATGGACGCATCACTCACGGTTGATGTGGTACGGACCACCACAAGGTAAATGTGTCTGAAGGAACTGCTCACACCACTTTTCTATATACCTGTGAGGTTTAACCTACGCTGTAATGTATACCTATGTATACGGTACCACAGGTATGCCAAGTATGGCAAACATCTGATTTTTCAATATTAAGTTAATCTGTTAGATCCTTACCAAATGTCAAAACATCACTGCTGGATCGAGTGAAAGAACCCGTGTTTAGTTATCATAACGGGATTTGGTCTGCTACTGACTCCATGTGATCATAACATGATTGAGTCAATCAACGAACCCATGTTTAGCAATCATAACAGGATTCAGTAAATCAATCACAGGGGATCGAGTCTATCAGTGACCCATGTTTAGTGACCATAACAAGGATGAATCTACCACTGACAGTGCGAACAAAGTCTTGTATGCTACTCAAAGCAAATTACAGTAAAGTACGGTTATAACGAACTCAAAGGGACTACTTATTTTAGTTCGTTATAACCGAAGTTCGTTTTAAGCATTTATACAGTATAACTACAGCAAATAGTCGGGACCAAAAAAGTAAGTTCGTTATATCCGTCAGTTCGTTATAAGCGTGTTCGTTATAACCGTAGTTTACTGTAAACAACACACACAATTGGAAGGCTGTGTGTAGCAATGACAGATTAACTATAGTCATATGAAAAAATGTGGTGTTCTTCAACTTCTTTTTCGTAAAATATACAACAACACTCACTGAGTCGTCCACCGATGGTGTTCGCGATTCCAGATGGGTTGTAGCCTGGCCTGAAGCCGGTGAAACCTCCTGTGAAGGAACCAAACACCGGGTAGACGCCGGGGTTCTGGATTGGATCTACCACAGAACCATCAGGCTTCTTACACACGGGGACGTCACAGCAGCCCCCGGGGGCCTTCACCATGTAGCATCCCTTGGGTAATGTCACCTTGGAGTAGTCAGCACACCTACAAATACACGACTCGTGAACACGTGGTCCTGTCTACAAAGGTCACAAGCAGCTGGAGTCGTATACTTCCCAGGGTGCTGAGAATGGAACTCGAGTGCACACTGATCCTTTGACCGGATTTATAACGTAGTGCCTTGAACATGCTTTAGGGTATGAATTTACGCATTATAAATATGCACATTAATGCAAGACAGCGACTGTTGTACAAGCACCTTGATGTTGCGATCAAAAGATAAAAATATATGGGTTGCTATACTTTATAGCAAATATATAAAAATATAAATACAGATTTATACAAACACTACTATGACGAATGAGTAATTATGACTAACACAAGGCTCTGAGTTGCAACAAGTGTATGCGTCTGCGATGCTAGTATCAATAACGCTAAACGATAGTAATGCCCCGGTCACAGGAAGTAGAGCATTCCTTCACAAGAGGAGAGCACGGTGTACTTACTTGGGGATACACTTGTAGTATCCTGAGGTGGAGTCGAGACACTCGCACTGGTAGTTACATCCGTCATCCCACTTCTCTCCCATGTTGTACATGCGGTTCTGGTAGATGCATTTGTCTGTACACAGAGCAGTGCTTAGTTTAGGGCATTAGCATGTGACGGAGCTTTGTCGTGGCTCTATAGCATACTTCAGGGGTATTAATTTTATAACTAGGTCGTATGTAGTTGTCTGATATGACCAAATACAACTCTAAAACATAAACACTTAAATATACACAAAAGCTGAAGTAATCGTCATCATATACGTCCACACATCAACGACTGAAACTGACACCGACAACAGTGACAATATAGCTTTAAAGTTGATCTTAACATAATATTTTTCTTATTTCTTGGTTAACAGATTATAAAAACAAAACTTGTATGTTGTAAGAAAACTAAACTAAACTGATATTTAATGTATATTTTTCGAAAAGTTGTCTCAATATTGTTTCGTTGTGCATTTTTAGTTCAGCTCTCTCCTCATTAACCTATTGTGCTCTATAGTCTTTCAGTTTAACCTATTGTTGGCACAATTTCTTGACGGTGAATACTTTGATTTGCATTCAATGGAATAAAAGAATAACGATTGTCGGATTTTATTGCTTTCCACTTTTCATTTTTAGGATCAGAAGAATCTGTAACCAACTTTTTTTAAAAAAACGTTGTTGAACTTACTGAGTCGTCCCACCATGATGCTTGTTGTGCCTGGGGGGACGGTGGCGCCACCTCCTGGCAACGACCCTCCGAACTGAGTCCCAACACCGGGCCCAACAATAATCTGTGGGTTGGTAGTTGGTGCCGGTGTCTGTCCTGGAGCCAGGGTGGGTGTGGGGTTGATCTGGGGTGTTGGGTTGTAGGGGGTGTTGATTCCGGGTACGTTACAGGTAAGACTCCTGCAGCACTGTCCGGGTACTGTGACATAATGACAGTAGCTAGGGGTAGGTGGATATGATGGGCATCTGCAAAAGGAAATAGAGGATTTAGACTGCGGCACATCATTTACAATTAGCCTTAACATTATTATAATTCTCAGGTAAGCTCTGGATCTTTTCTAACTTCAGGGATAAATGTTCAACACTTGTTGATTCCGGGCCTTGTTTGTTTTTATCCTTTCCAGTCGATCACAAGCAAGAAAGACAAGCAACAATAACCGTTGACCTTATCTGCCCGGAACAACCAATACACATGACAGTTGTCTCTTACGACAAGCATAAAATACCGGTGACCTATTCTGCATGGAACAACCAATACAAATGTCAGTGGGCACTTACGACGAGCAACAAATACCGGTGACCTATTCTGCCTGAAACAACCAATACACATGTCGGTGGGCTCTTACGACAAGTAACAAATACCGGTGACCTATTCTGCCTGGAACAACCAATACACATGTCCACTGCTCTGACGACAAGCAACAAATACCGGTGACCTAGTCTTCCCGGAATAACCACAAGGGATGGTTGTATAAATATACCCCTGTAGCATACACTGACTTACTTGGAGATGCATCTGTAGATTCCGTTCTTGCCGGACTCGCATGTGCAGGTGAGGTCGCAGGCGTCGTCCCATGAAGTGCCTTGTTGGTGGAGCGTGCCCTTGTAGTAACAGGCGTCTGTCACGTACAGAAAACAATGTATGTAAGTGAGTGAGTTGGGTTTAACACTGCTTTGGGCAGTATTTCAGTTTTATCGCGGTGTGTCAGCTTGATCTGGGAGGAAAGCCCTAAGTGATGCAGGTGTTAGACGTTTACCACTTTGGTGAATCCCACGAGTACGGTGCTGACAGAGAAACAGCCATCCACAAGGTCATTGAGTTGGTATGGCGTTATGTCGCTTTTATTATTAGCCTAGCATCATCATCATCATCATCATCATCATCATCATCATCATCATCATCGGGGTCATCGACAAATAGTTTCATTGCATTCATTTCACAAGATAAACCAAGCACCGTTAGTGAGTGGGAATGATTTTACGCTGCCTCTTGCGCTATTTCACAAACTACCATTGTTGGGAATAGAATCTGATTTTGGGGGGTTGCTATAAACGTCTTTTCTATTATCCAAGGATGGTTTTACATGTAAATGTGTGTGACCTACTTCTGCCTCCGATCTGGACAACGTAGGATGATCCTGGTTGCGGTCCGGATCCAGAGAAGATCTGATGTGTTCCAATAGGAATGACGTTCTGTATGGACGGGTTGAGGGTGGGCGAGGTGGTGGGGTGGAGGGGGTCGGGTATCATGGGTATGAAGGTCTTGCCGTTGTAGTTACAGACTGGCTGCATGCAGCACTGGTCCCCGGGGATCTTCTGCAGAGTACAGTAGCTTGGGAGGCCGGAGAACGCCGTGCACCTGGGGGAGGGGGTCACAGAGGTAGGAGTGAGAATAGTTATGATAGAAACAGACGTAATAAATGTAATAATATAATCGTTTGTTGCAGATGGAAAATACTGGAAACTACAGATTGTGCTTTTAGGTGCATCTGATACCGTTTAAGTGGATTACTCATATATTGTGAATGTTTCGTTTCCACTTGAATTTTTTGTGGACAATATGTGTTCACAAAATACATTGACGTTCCTAATTCTTTCAGTCTTTGTTACATACAGATTGACTTCTGAACAGGATATCACATGAATGAGTGAATAAGTAAATGAATGTTATTTTATGCCGCAGTCAAAAGTATTCTAGCTATATCACAGTAGCCTGTAGACAATCAGGCCAAACAAAATGCTGTTTGACAAGATTACAACGATTCATGACACCAAGAGAATTAAACAGGTCATGTTTGGGATCACCCGATCTCCATTTTAGTCTGCTGTATTGGATAGTCGGACCCTTATTCCTTATTCCCCACAGATCACATGAATCAGCCTCATGTGTTACAACAAGGGAACCCACATCACAATGAAATAGTAACTGACCTTACTTGACATGTCATGATAAATTAGTGTTCACATTTCCAGGACAACTACATTCTGACATAAATAATTGTGTGAATATTCTAAGAATGTAATAGTGGTTGTTGGATTCAAATAGTTGTAACTGGATGTTTTATTTTACAGTTCGCATGCAGTCCTCTCAACATTTCCTGATTTCCTGGTGTATATCTGCCTTACACTGACCTCATCGTGCATCTGAAGTCGTTGCTCGTAGGGTCCTGGCATACACAGGTGTAGGTGCAGCCGTCAGCCCAGCTCTGGCCCTTGGCGTACAACTTGCCGTCAGTGTACTGGCACATGTCTGTGTTAACATACAATAGAGATATACCATAGGTACACGGACTGGCACTCTCACCAATAGTCCCATCATATTTATTACCAATATATTTGTTAATAGTTATATTTGAGAATAGCATAAAAAAAGTGTTTGACATATTTTAGTTATTTTTAAACTATAATACGAATGTCAACATTTGTGATCAAAATCAATTTTATGAAAACACATTTACATATGTTTATCCTCCCTGACTGGCTCCCACAGGAGATATCGCTTGGGTAAGATCAAGCGATATCTACATTGTAGATGTCGTTGCAATGAAAGTGCAACACAATGCTTTGCAGACGATTGTGACGTCATTGGTTACCATAACGTCACAATCAAATGACATCACTAATGGCTCTGCTACTAAATCTGTTAGAAGTACTTTTTACACTCCAGACAAGGCTTATTACTGTCTACAAACTGGAAGAATGATGTTGGATGATAAATAGAAACTCACCTTTGTGTCTTTTGATATGAAATATATTAACACTCGTCGACAAAAGTTTAAAACTCCTAGGCAAGCCTCGAGGTTTTAAACTTTTTTGACTCGTGTAGATATATTTGATATCAAGAGATACTTGGGTGAGATTCTCAATGTGACGCTAGAATTACAGTAGTTCTTGTTTACATTTTAGTGAACACGCTTACGAACCAACATGTAATAAAAGTCCGTAATGCAGTTTCCGTAATACAGAGGTCATGACTATAGAAGCTCCACTCAATGTGACTTGTTGATAGACATGCCTCACTGCGTCCATGGCAACAGTTCATCTCGTTAATACATAACACATTTTTATGGAGCACGCATCTTTATTCTTTCTACCGACGTTTCAGGTCTACCTTTTCTCCCTCCATCGGGTGAATATCGATACTCCTACCGTCGCAGCGCATTATCGGATATACTGTTCACCTGATGAAGGAGCAAGAAGTAGCCCTGAAACGACGCTCCAAAGAATAAAGAAGTCGCTATCCTTAAAACAGTATCATGTATTCATGTTCTTCCAACTCCTAAATGCCTATCAAAGATGTTAATTCTGAAACATCTAAACATGTACATGTAGGAAATAACAATTTGTCTATAAACCCCTGTATGAGTTAATGTACAGGGTCCCATTTCACAGTGCGATCTATGCACGACTGTCGTAAGTCTTTGTTAAAATTAAAGCTTAACGACAGTCGTAGCGCTAAGATCTCTTTGTGCAACGGGCCCTGTATGTACTGTTTGCGGGAACGTACTCGGTGGCCTTGAACCGGTGATGATGGGGTACTGGGTGTGTGGATTGTTTGTCGTTCCAGTTCCTGAAGGTCCTACACAAAGACACAGCGGACAGTGGTCAGTTCATGGACAGGGCAGAAGACATTTGCAACAGACATATGTACATATTCAAATGTTAAAGCAAGTTAAAAATCTTTAAAAAGCACACAAACTGCCAGGCAAAAGAAAGTATCAAACCCATGTTTGATGGTGGATAAAATGAAACAAACAAGAAATGGTTATTCCATGGTGCTGTATTTGATACGGGTATAATAGTTGTGTGTTGGACCTTAAGCCTAGTAACATTGGAAAACGTTGATATTTTTTGGGTCAAATTGAATTTGTAAATGTATACTACTTTTTGTGCCCGGCATTTTACATTGAGGTTTAGATTAAAGAGAGAAATATCATTTGTAATCTATCTTGATAACTCTCTGTAGCGCCTTTCTCACCTGTTCCGATTGCGGGAGTTACGGGATGCGCACTGTTAGAGAAAATGGGGTACAGAGTGTTCGGGTTGATGGTCTTCCCTGTGCCCATGGGGCCGGTGCCGGTGTACGGGGTCACATACGATGGAGGTGTATGCGAGAAATTGGGATACAGGGTGTTCACGTTGATGGTCTTCCCTGTGCCCATTGGGCCGGTGCCGGTGTATGGGGTCACATAAGATGGAGGTGTTGGCGTCAAGAAGAGGGTAGAGTCACACTTGGCGACCTTGCAGCATGTGTCCTTGGGGTCGGGGACCATCATGCACTGCGGCGGTAGGAAGTAATACTTTCCGCATCTGGTTGGAGAAATTGTCAGTTATCTATTTTCAGGTTTTCATTGTAATAAGAGTTTCGTTAAGTGAAGATGTGTCTTGTCGATTTATTAAGTCGACATGCGCATGCCTTAACATTGTTGAAAAGTCAGATTGATTGATGGCCCTGTAACAACTGTCTTTGATTCCTGACATGGTAATCGGTGTCTTCACTTACTAACTCATTCGCTAACTCACCTGCTTCTTCACACTAAATAACATTCACTCACTCAAGGTGCATACATATTTAACTGTTTGTTATGTGTTACAACGCAACTGATATCAGGCTTTGTGTCCCTTACAAATATGTATTCACCTGTCGCTACACTTGTATTTGCCTCTGACGGCGTCGATACATTCACAGTTGTAGGTGCAGCCATCGCTCCAGGTTTGTCCTTGAGAATATGTGGTGCCCTTGTACACGCACTTGTCTGCAATATACATTAGCCGTTATACACCCGCACAAATCGGTTATTATAAAGCCCCAGTATACATCAGTTATTTCACACTAACAATATACAACCGTTATTATAAACCGACAATGTACAGTTATAATACAGCCGCAGTATATAACGGTTATTATACAGCTACAGTATACAACGGTTATTATACAGCCACAGTATACAACGGTTATTATACAGCCACAGTATACAACGGTTATTATACAGCCACAGTAAATAACGGTTATTATACAACCGGCGTTTACAACGGTTATTATACAGCCACAGTATACAACGGTTATTATACAGCCGCAGTATACAACGGTTATTATACAGCCACAGTATACAACGGTTATTATAAAGCCACATTATACAACGGTTAGTATACAGCCACAGTATACAACGGTTATTATACAGCCGCAGTTTACAACGGTTATTATACAGCCACAGTATACAACGGTTATTATACAGCCACAGTATACAACGGTTATTATACAGCTGCAGTCAACAACGATTTTTATACAGTCGCTTTATACGGTTATCACGCACATCCAAAATACATTTTCATTATATATCCACCATACACAGCAGCAATATACAACGGCTATCATGCACCAGCAATATACAGCTGAGGTTTAGATCTAAACTGTAAACAGGAGGAAGAGAAAAAAACACCGAGGTACCATGCCGAAATTTAACATGGATACCTTACTTAGACACAGTACCCCCTTAATGCAACACTTACCATCTTTAAACGTTTTTTATTATGACGCGGCCGGGGATCGAACCAACGACCTTCAGCTCTCCGGCAGACGCTCTATCCACTAAAACACTCATAGCAGTTAATTCACGAGAACCAGGTGCACTCACTTCTCATTCCAGCTACCAATCCACCGACTTGTTGTCCGGGGTAACCAGGTCCGAACCCAGTATTACCAGTGAAGGTGCCTGGGATGCTGGTTGGTTGGATGTACGTGGGGTGACCAGTGAAGCCGGGGCCGTAGGAAGGATTGGGGTTCAGAGGATTGTTGGTTCCGTTGATGCCGGGGAGTGTGTTGGGGGTAAGACTTAATGGAGGGAGGTGATTGCAGTCGGGGACGACACAGCATGGGTCGTTGGGGTCAGTCTCGAGAGTACACGTGGGAGCGAGGTTGTTGAAGGAGGAACACCTGCAAGTAAACGAGTGAGTGAGTGAGTGACATCACACTCATTGACAATCCACTCTCACGCTACGACACTACACTGACACGCTACGCCACGACACTACACTGACACGCCACGCCACGACATTACACTGACACGACACGCCACGACACTACACTGACACACCACGACACGCCACGACACTACACTGACACGCCACGACAACACTGACACGCCACGACAATACACTGACACGCCACGACTCACGGTAAGACAAGATTTCGACATTGAGTGAACTGATTTGCAAACATTTAACTTTTACTTATATTCTCGGAGATCGGGTTTTTAACTAACCCGATGCTCATCATATCATTCACAGGATTGTCTGGTCCAGACTCAATTATTTACAGACCGCCGTCATAAAGCTGGAATATTGCTGAGTGCGGCGTTAAACAACATACAAACAAACAAACAAACAAACAAACAAAACTGACCTATCTCTGCACGTGTAGAGGTTGTTGGTAGGATCGTCACACACACACGTCTTGTCACAGGCATCGCTCCATGTCTGACCTTTGTGGTACGGCACCCCCTTGTATACGCAGAAGCCTGGACGAGGACGGGAATATAACAGCAGTGCGTAAAGACATGGTAGTGTCAGGAAAGTTATTTTTTCAAATTCGGACCCACATACCTTTTCCTCACAGTTTTAGATGCCACTGTTTATAATATTTAAATGTATGGTTATATTAAAGGGGTACTATGTTCCATTGTCTGTTGCTCATTTTCAATCCACAGACGTTGAATTGGATCCTTGTGTGCCAGTTTGCCTGAACCTTCTCCAATGGAAGGACAGCTACAGAATGATATATTTGCACGTTATTAACAAACTTTGTAAACTTCATACACTTCACGGTTGTTGGCACTTCGTAATAGAACACAAGCAACGCTACCTTGTTTACTTTAGTAATTGTTTGTTTTGCGGGATCTTTAATCAAGATGTTGACGAAAGGGAAAATCCAATGTGGCGTATTTGTCATGTGTTACTTCTGGTCCTCAAGCCTTTATGTATGACTCGATGTCATTACCATGATGTCTTTAACACTTACCAGTGCTTTGACTAGGGTTGTGATTGGCTGCATTAGACACACCGGGGCCTGGTTTCTGTGTTGTGTGTTGATTAGGTCCGAGAGAGGGGTTGAGGATCGGGTTGGGGGTGGGGATACCGCCAGGGAAGGGAGTGGGATTCAGGAAGTCACAGTATGGACGCTGGCAGCAGGGATTGGTCGGGTCACGGAGCATCACACAGCGGTTCGGAAGCTGAGGCACCGCCGGACACCTGGAGAATAAATACAAAGGATATTCAACGTCCAGATGAACAAAGATTTAACATGTCTTTGAATGGCATTTAGAAGTGACACAATGAAACCTTTTGAATCAAAAGTCAAATTTATTCGAAATATCGTTTAAGTCGATGTGATAAAATAACGGTATATAATGTAAGATGGTAGAATCTTTATAAATGGGATTTTATATCATCACTCCGTTTGCCTCGAACTATGGATAACTTGACATAAACTGAAGGGCAAAATATGTACAGTAAACTACGGTTATAGCGTATTCAAAGGGACCACTAATTTTAGTTCGTAATAACCGTAGTTCGTTATAAGCATATATATGCAGCATATATGATCGAGACTAAAAAAGATGTTCGTTACATCGGTCAGTTCGTTATTAGCGTGTTCGTTATAAACGTAGTTTACTGTATACCTAGTTTGTTTTTTAAGTAATTGAAAATTGAAAAAAAGAAACTGTTGTTAAATTTGATTATGTCTATTAACAATCACGCCTTCCTGCAACAGTTTGTGAAATGTTTGAAATTTTGTAATTTTGTGCCTTTACTTTCTTAAAGATAAGATGTCTAATAGAATCATCAGCAGTTGTAAAAAAAATAGTTAATTTTTTTAAAGTTTTAAATTAATTATATTTCTGAAAGGAAAACCATGTAGAAGTATTCTTTGAGTGCTGACTATACGCCAGTAAAGTTAATCTTTTTTGTATATTATATGACTAACTTCAGATACGAGTATTTCCAATTGAAAATCAAACACATAATAATATCAGCTGAGAGATATAGTTTCTCTTGCCCCTCAGTATATCTTCTGTTGCTCCTCAGATGTCCAGGGCCCACTTGCACAAAGCGATCTTAGAGCTAAGATGATCGTAATTCCCATACTTTAACATAGGCTTAAGATAGTCTTAGCGCTGAAATTGCTTTGTGCAAGTGGGTCCAGGTCAGTAAGTAATACCGCAGTTTATGTGCATTCGGGGCGAATATATGGGCATTTTACCTTATAATATATTTCGAGAGAAATGTTATTAACATAATTATTCGTTAGGGAGAACAGTTGACATTTGCAAAATAATCATGTCGACCTATATGAAATATGTTTACATATAGGGGAGAGGTATGTAGAAACTTGAGTGGTAATGCGTGATAGAATGCCAGTGATGAACCCAAACAGGATCAGGACATAGCGAGAGTAATGACTGGCTAAAGGGAAGAATACCAGGATGTGAAATAGTTGGTGACTCACTTCTTGAGGCACTTGTACTGGCCAGTAGCATCATCCAGACATTCACAGTCGAAGTCGCATCCGTCTTCCCACGTCTGTCCCTCGTTGTAGACCTGGCCCTTGTACATACAACCTGTACAACGAGTGAGTGAGTGAGTGAGTGAGTGAGTGAGTGGGTGGGTGGGTGGGTGTGTGGGTGGGTGAGTGAGTGAGTGAGTGAGTGGGTGGGTGGGTGAGTGAGTGAGTGAGTGAGTGAGTGAGTGAGTGAGTGAGTGAGTGAGTGAGTGAGTGAGTGAGTGAGTGAGTGAGTGAGTGAGTGAGTGAGTGAGTGAGTGAGTGAGTGTACCACCGACCTTCCACTGACGCTCTATCCACTAGACCAGGGTTGCTGTCTTTGGTAGTTTACGGTATCAGCAAACTGATGTTGTTATTGTGACACTTGTAAAGGGTCAGTACTGTGTTGTAGGGAGCTGGGTGATTGTTATCACGTGTCACACACTGTCATCCTGTGTCTGTGTGGGATATTTGCTTAACTCTGCATCAGCAATATTGCAGCTATTCGTGGTGGACGTTTTGAAGTTGATCCTGGGATGACACTAATCCTATTGTGTAACCGGGTGATCCATGTATAACGAACTACTCCTTGTTACCTCTAGGCGAGGGTGTGGGCTGGGATCCGGGTGATGGCGATACACCTGGCGCCATGGTCGGGGGTTTGCCGTAGCCGTTGATGTAGCCAGGGGCGGGGGTGACGGAGATGAACCCTGGTGTCGGCGTCACTCCTGGTGCAGGGGTCGGGACTGGACACTGAGGCTTCTTGCAGCAGGACGGGTCTTTAGGATCAGGCACCATGAGGCAGTCAGACTGGATGCTGTCATACTTCGTGCACCTGGAACAAAGACGTTCAACTGTTATATCCGAAACCCCAGCGACCATCTGAAATAATCAGTGAGTGTGCCTTTGTGCCGGTTACATCACTGAGCTAGGCCGGAATTTCTGGGTTCGATCGTAGCGCCACGAGTAATGCCCATCCTATGTCTCTCATATTGACTAATCAGATTCCACCTCAGATATCACTTGCATTTGCTTCAAACAAATTATTATGATCTGATCGATAATCAAGATCTATATCGTAATAAAACGGGTCTTACTTCGCGAAGTGCATCAAATCACGTGAGGACCTTCATTAAAAACTCAACAAATTGGAAAATATCTGTTGATGCTAAGTTGACGGTACACATGCTTTGCAAATCCTGCAGTCGACCGAAATCTGCACCGCAGTTTACGAACCGGATGTTCATTTCGTTACGCGATTTTGATTGGACTATGCATAGACTTGTTAGTCGAGCAAAAATATAACTCCATAAATCCAGCCTAGTTCGGCAAGGGTGGAAACTGGACTTTTATAGTCAGTTAACTCCCTTGCCTCGGGAAGATGACAGGCCGCGAACGGCCCCGTCATAAAGCTGGAATATTGCTGAGTGAGGCATTAAACAACAAACAATGTTCAAACCCGTATGTCATCCTACCTGTCCTGGCATCTGTGGAAGTTGACGTCGGCACTCTCGCAGCGGCACACCTTGCTGCAGCCATCGTACCACAGCTGGCCTTCCTTGTAGTACTGGTTGTTGTACTCGCACATGCCTAGATGGAGGGACAACAGGTAATTGTCAAGAGGAAACCAATGTTAACACATATATGGCAGATATTTACAACAATGATTATACAAGAAAAACCCATATATGTCCTGTTTATAATAATGGGATAATGAAATAAATAATTATTTTTTTGTCCGAGGTTTGTTTGTTACATTTACTGTTTTTCACGGTTATTTTATTTTCGCTGATTGAGGAGTCACAACATCACAACGTAATACAATAGCTGACACTCACCTTTAAGTCCTGGTGCTTGTGTCACGCCCGTCATTGGTGTATAGCCTGGAGTTAAGCAAAAATAATACAATGCTGACCTTACTTTACTTGCCCCCAGCTAAGAAATATTAATCTCCTTGAAGATCTTGGTTAAAATAAGTCTTCAGCAACCCATGCTTGTCGAATGAGGCAACTAACGGGAACGGGTGGTCATTGTATCTCATTTGTATGGATCATGATGTCAATCACTGGATTGTCTGGTCCAGACTCGATTATTTACAGACCGCCGTTTGTAGCTGGAATATTGCTGAGAGCGGCGTTAAACAACAAACAAACACACAAATATTAAACATTTGATTCTATACCTTTACACCAATGTACACTATATGTTTTGAATTACACACGTTCATTTCTTATAGGAAAATACGCAATATAAGACTTTTTCCAAGATTACAATTTATGTTGAATAACATTACGTTGAATACCGTGTGTGAGATACCAGTACCCTGCTCTATTATGTCACATGGTGAAGAAGGCATACCTGGTATAGGTGTTGGTCCTGGATACGGAGTTGCTCCAGGGTAGGGCACAAAACCAATAGGGTATGGCGTTGGTCCGAGGTAGGGCGTAGCTCCAGGTGATGGGGTGAAACCTATAGGATATCTAGATGGTCCAGGGTAAGGTGTAGCACCAGTTGATGGTGTGTAACCAATCGGGTATGGTGTTGGTCCGAGATAAGGTGTTGCCCCCGGGTATGGCGTGAAACCGAAAGGATATTTAGAAGGTCCAGGGTATGGTGTTGCCCCTATTGATGGGGTGAATCCGATTGGCCAAGGAGTAGGTCCCAAATAGCGAGTAGCTCCTGGATATGGGATGAATCCAATAGGGTACTTGGATGGTCCTGGGTATGGGGTGGCACCGAGGTAGGGTACGAATCCTATTGGGTAAGGAGTTGGGCCAAGGTATGGTGTGGCACCTATACTCGGGGTAAATCCAATTGGATACTTACTTGGTCCGGGGTAAGGTGTAGCACCAGGGAATGGTGTGTAACCAATGGGCCAAGGTGTAGGTAGGTGATACGGTGTGGCACCAGGCGAGGGTGTGAATCCAATGGGATAAGGTGTTGGACCTGGGTAAGGTGTTGCTCCAGGGTAAGGCGTGTATCCGATTGGATACGGAGTGGGTCCAAGGTAGGGAGTGGCTCCAATGGAAGGTGTGAACCCAATGGGGTATTTGGATGGTCCTGGATAAGGTGTTGCACCTGGCCATGGAGTGTAGCCGATGGGATAAGGTGTTGGTCCAAGGTATGGCGTTGCGCCTGGATAGGGTGTGAATCCAATAGGATATGGGCTGGGGCCTGGATATGGAGTAGCACCGGGGTAAGGAACATATCCTATGGGGTAAGGTGTAGGTCCAAGATAGGGTGTTCCTCCGACAGAGGGAGTAAAGCCTATTGGATAGGGTGTTGGTCCAGGGTAGGGTGTTGCACCTGGCCATGGGGTGTAGCCAATGGGATAAGGAGTGGGTCCCTTGTATGGCGTGGCACCAGGTGAAGGAGTAAAACCAATTGGCCACCTAGATGGTCCTGGGTAAGGGGTGGCTCCAGGATAAGGAACGAATCCAATTGGATATGGTGTTGGTCCTAAGTATGGTGTGGCACCTGGTGATGGTGTATACCCAATAGGATAAGGAGTTGGGCCAGGATATGGCGTTGCACCAGGGAATGGTGTGTAGCCTATCGGGTATGGGGTTGGTCCAAGATACGGGGTGGCTCCGGGAGATGGCGTGAATCCAATTGGATATTTGGTTGGTCCTGGGTATGGTGTTGCTCCGGGATAAGGTGTGAAACCAATTGGCCATGGTGTTGGTGCTCTGTACGGTGTTGCTCCAGGTGAAGGTGTGTAGCCAATAGGGTATGGCGTTGGTCCTGGGTATGGCGTTGCTCCAGGATAGGGAGTGTAGCCAATGGGCCATGGTGTTGGTGCTTTGTAAGGTGTGGCTCCAGGGGATGGTGTGTAACCAATGGGATAAGGTGTAGGTCCTGGGTATGGCGTAGCCCCTAAGTAAGGGGTGAAACCTATTGGCCATGGGGTTCCTAGGTGGAAGGGTGTCGCGCCAGGAGAGGGTGTGTATCCAATGGGGTAAGGTGTTGGTCCAGGGTAGGGAGTAGCACCAGGATAAGGAGTGTAGCCGATTGGCCAGGGAGTAGGAACATGGAAGGGTGTTGCGCCAGGAGATGGCGTAAACCCAATAGGATATGGAGTTGGACCTGGGTATGGTGTTGCTCCTGGCCAAGGTGTGTAGCCAACTGGATAAGGTGTTGGGCCTCTGTATGGAGTCGCCCCTGGGGAAGGTGTGAATCCTATTGGGTATGGGGTGGGTCCTGGATAAGGTGTTGCTCCTGGATATGGTGTGTAGCCAATAGGGTAAGGTGTAGGTCCTCTATAGGGTGTGGCACCTGGTGATGGGGTGAATCCGATAGGATATCTGGTTGGTCCTGGGTACGGGGTTGCACCTGGATATGGCACATATCCAATGGGGTAAGGAGTGGGTCCCAGATAAGGAGTTCCTCCGGGGACAGGCGTGAAACCTATTGGGTATTTGGATGGTCCTGGATAAGGTGTTGCACCTGGCCATGGTGTGTAGCCAATAGGATATGGTGTTGGTCCCAAATAAGGAGTTGCTCCAGGGGAAGGTGTGAATCCAATGGGGTACTTTGATGGTCCAGGGTAGGGGGTGGCTCCAGGGTAAGGCGTATATCCTATGGGGTAGGGTGTTGGTCCAAGATATGGGGTAGCACCTGGGGATGGTGTGAATCCAATAGGATAGGGAGTGGGACCTGGGTATGGTGTTGCACCAGGGTATGGTACATAACCAATAGGCCAGGGTGTTGGAAGATGGTAGGGTGTGGCACCTGGAGATGGTGTGAATCCTATTGGGTAGGGGGTAGGTCCTAGGTACGGCGTTGCACCTGGCCATGGGGTGTAACCAATCGGATATGGAGTGGTGGGAGTGTTTGTTGATGGAATAGTTGGCAGCTTATAAGGGGTAGCTCCGGGAGATTGTGTATAGCCAACAGGGTACGGTGTTGGTCCTGGGTAGGGCGTAGCACCAGGTGATGGGGTAAATCCAATCGGGTATTTAGATGGACCCGGATAAGGTGTTGCTCCAGGGTATGGTGTAAAGCCAATTGGATAAGGTGTTGGTCCAAGATAAGGAGTTGCGCCAGGGAACGGGGTAAACCCAATTGGGTATTTGGATGGGCCTGGGTAGGGTGTAGCACCGGGTGATGGAGTGAAACCGATTGGGTAAGGAGTTGGCCCAAGGTACGGGGTAGCACCGGGAGATGGGGTGTATCCAAATGGATACTTGGATGGGCCTGGATAAGGTGTTGCATCAGGGTATGGTGTGAAACCTATTGGGTAAGGGGTTGGCCCAAGGTATGGTGTAGCTCCGGGAGACGGTGTGTATCCAAAGGGGTATTTGGATGGTCCTGGGTATGGTGTTGCCCCTGGCCAAGGAGTGTAACCAATTGGATATGGCGTAGGCCCAAGATATGGTGTAGCACCAGGCGATGGCGTGTATCCAATAGGATACTTGGATGGGCCTGGATAAGGTGTTGCACCAGGGTATGGTGTGAAACCTATTGGGTAAGGAGTGGGTCCAAGATATGGAGTCGCACCTGGAGATGGTGTGTATCCAATTGGGTATTTAGATGGGCCTGGATAAGGTGTTGCACCAGGGAATGGTGTGTAGCCAATTGGATATGGAGTAGGTCCTGGATATGGTGTAGCCCCAGGAGAAGGAGTATAACCAATAGGATAGGGTGTTGGTCCAGGGTATGGTGTTGCTCCAGGGAATGGGGTGTATCCAATTGGCCAAGGTGTTGGAGCATGGTATGGTGTGGCGCCTGGTGATGGTGTGTATCCAATGGGATAAGGTGTTGGTCCAGGGTACGGCGTTGCTCCAGGGAATGGGGTGTATCCAATTGGCCAAGGTGTTGGAGCACGGTATGGTGTGGCACCTGGTGATGGTGTGTATCCAATGGGATAGGGTGTAGGACCTGGGTATGGCGTTGCACCTAAAAACGGCGTATAGCCAATAGGCCAAGGTGTTGGAATATGGTAGGGTGTGGCACCTGGCGATGGCGTAAAGCCAATAGGATAGGGGGTTGGTCCTGGATAGGGGGTTGCTCCTACCCATGGAGTGTATCCGATCGGGTAGGGTGTTGGTCCTAGGTAAGGTGTGGCACCAATTGATGGTGTAAATCCTATTGGATATTTAGATGGACCAGGGTATGGTGTTGCCCCAGGATACGGAATATGACCGATTGGATACGGTGTTGGTCCTAGATATGGCGTAGCGCCTGGTGATGGGGTGAATCCAATAGGGTACCTTGTTGGTCCTGGATAAGGTGTGGCACCTGGGAATGGTGTATATCCTATGGGGTATGGGGTAGGTCCAAGGTAGGGCGTAGCTCCTGGAGATGGTGTGAAACCTATTGGATATTTTGATGGACCTGGATATGGTGTTGCCCCGGGCCATGGCGTATATCCAATTGGGTACGGTGTCGGTCCAAGGTAAGGAGTTGCACCTGGTGAAGGTGTAAAACCTATAGGATATTTCGATGGTCCTGGGTATGGTGTAGCACCTGGATATGGCGTGAACCCAATAGGGTAGGGAGTTGGTCCCAAGTATGGGGTAGCTCCAGGGGACGGAGTGTAACCAATGGGATATGGTGTCGGTACGTTAAACTTAGGTCCTGGATATGGGGTCGCACCTGGTGATGGGGTGTACCCAATAGGCCACGGTGTTGGACCAGGGTAGGGAGTAGCTCCCGGGGAAGGAGTGAAACCAATTGGGTATTTTGAAGGCCCTGGGTAAGGTGTTGCCCCTGGATATGGAGTGTATCCAATTGGGTATGGCGTTGGTCCCAGGTAAGGAGTAGCACCGGGAGATGGGACAAATCCAATCGGGTATTTAGATGGTCCTGGGTAGGGAGTAGCACCAGGGAATGGCGTGAATCCTATTGGCCAGGGTGTAGGGAGGTGATAAGGTGTGGCACCAGGAGAGGGTGTGAATCCTATTGGGTAAGGTGTTGGTCCCGGGTAGGGTGTTGCACCAAGGTAAGGCGTGTAGCCGATTGGATAGGGTGTTGGTCCAAGGTAGGGCGTTGCACCAGGAGAGGGGGTGAAACCTATTGGATAGCGTGTTGGCCCTGGGTAAGGAGTTGCACCTGGGTAGGGAGTGTATCCAATTGGATAAGGAGTAGGTCCGAGGTACGGTGTTGCCCCTGGAGATGGTGTAAACCCTATTGGGTACTTAGATGGACCTGGGTATGGAGTGGCGCCTGGGTACAGCGTGTAACCAATCGGGTATGGTGTGGGGTACAGCGTGTTCATTGGGGGTACAAGTGTTGGGCAGTAGGGAACCTCGCAGCATTTGTCCCTGGAGTCCTGCATCATGGTGCAGTAGGAGGGCACCTGGGGAAACGCCGGGCACCTGCAACATAGGAAACACATACACGTTGGTGCGAATTGTTCAAATGTGTGAATGAGTATGGTTTTACGTTATATTCCAGCAATATCACGGCGATGGGTTTCACACACTGTACCCATATTTGGAATCGAACCCTCGCCCCGCCAAAGGCCCGGGTTCGATTCCACACATGGGTACAATGTGTGACACCCATGTAAGATCCAAATATGAACCAAACACTTGATTTGCCAATTGTCAAAAAGTACTTACTTTTCAGTACACCTATATTTGCCATCTGCACTGTCAATACATTCACAGTCGTAGGTACAGCCGTCCTCCCACTTCTCTCCCTGGTGATAGCTCTTGCCATTGTACACGCATACACCTGTGAGTAGAGCACGCTTGTTGGTATACGTAGTGAAGGCGATAACGGGTATTATTGGTCAAATGACGATACAATCACATGTGCATGTTCAGCAGCCTTGGTGTAACTGATAGGAAAAACCCATAAGTCACCGAAATCCAACTGGGTCATCATTTTATCAAGATGACAACTTATTTCCATTTCAAGTATAGTATGCTATTGAATCCATTTCACCATTGAATGCTTGAGACAGATGCATATGAGCCAATGGCAATGGGATTGTGGGCTCCACACGGGTGGAGAGCGGGTCGTGTTAACACTGTCAAGATTTATTAATCCGGACGTATTCTTTTTGTTACATCAATAACCTTTAATAACTTTCAAGATTGTAAAATAGATATATATCTGTGGCAACATGTTAACTCATGTGTAGATTATGAAATGATATTGGACAAATTTTGCGAGTAAAATCTTCATCTTATGACAAGCCTGACATTTCGTTTGTCGGCCACGACAACTTCCACGGATTTGTTAATTAATTGCCTTTGCATGTGTTCGTGAAGGGTGCCACCTGTAGGTCAGGATACGCTCACTTTTTCGTAAAAACCTGGTATTTTCACTATTTGGTTGTGATTCATAAACACATACTCATGATAGAGTCGGAATCGTACTATCGACTCGCAGAGATTTCTGTTGGATATGGAAAGGGTTTTGGCGCTTTATTTATATAATTATCTCCTCAGTTCCAATTTAATTAATCTTCATGTAAATCTTTTAGCAAGTCCTTGGCTTCAGCAAGTATATTTATACCAATACAGGTATCTGTAGGTTCAGTCTTACTTTTGCCGAGTGGTAATGGGATGTCTGGGGGTAGCATCTGTCCGGTGATGGTGCCGGGGACGCCGGTGATGGTGTGGGAGGGGTTGTTGGTGTTGGGGCTGTTACCACAGCTTGGTACCTGGCAGCACTTGTCGGAGGGATCAGTGATCAACACGCAGTCAGACGGGGTCTGAGGGTAGCTCGCGCACCTAGAGGACATGACAGGAGTGTTACTGTGTGAATCTTTGTTGTCTCACTGACAGTAGGCATATTGCCATTTTAAAAAGAAACTTGACATTTCAACTGCTGTACAATTAGAATTATGCTTTATATACTTATTATTATATCTACTTATCATTTTCATCTTGAGTAATTGATCAATCTTGTTCTAAGGCATCGACATTAAATATTCAAGGGAGGCTTGGGATCCCCTCAGAAACAGAAAGTGTTTTCGGTCACTGTATTAAGACATACACTTTCTCCCTGAAGAGAGCAGCCGATCAATGTTTTTTTTATGACATCCAGCGAATAAAGTTTTTTGGTAAAACCAAAGTCCAATTTATTTTCAGCATTTCCTTTTTAAGCCCAGGCCCCACGCCCCAGAACACCAAACGGTCACCCCTAATGTTACTGAAAAATAAATGCAGAATCGAACATATATGATAGTACTAGACTTATCAAAAACGATACCTTTGCATACATTTACAAATGGGTCATTATAATAGTTTTCGGATGACAAAAGAGAGAATGGGTTTATCTTTACACAGATACCTGTCATCGCAGTTGATGGTGTTGGCCATGGCGTCCTCACAACGACACACCTTGTCGCATCCCACTGGCCAACTCTGCCCCTGTCTGTACGGGATACCGTTGTAGGCACAGAAGTCTGCAATTACAAGCGTAGTGCGAGGTAGTGGTAAGGAAACGAGCAGACAGGGTTTCTTGTATAACAGAGAGATTATAAACCAAGCATGCTTTCATCACTATTTGATTGTGATTCACAGATACGTGCTTATGATAGAGTCGGAATTATACAATGGACACTTCTTATGATTATCGAAATGTATTTGTAGCTTTAAATACGTTATTAGAACTTCAATAGATTTCAATTGCATATTTCCTTTAGAAACATCTGCTTTAAAGAGGGACGTTGCTGAATGGGGTTCGTTGCTCATTTTCAGTTTCGGCTTGACATTGCAATTAGTTCCTGTGGGAACCTAAGACACAGTCTTCAGGTGATAACGGTAATTATTAACCGTTTCAATATGATGCATCATAAAACGTAAAGACTTGAATCAAATTTGCAGGAACTGCCAATTTCCCGAGCCTTGACCTCCTTTAATGGTGTCGGTTCACTATATCCTCTGTAAAGTCTTACTTGCAGTGGGAGCCTGGGTGGCGCCAGGCAAGGGGCTGACATTTGGTGTCTTGGAGGGGCTGGGAACGTGGCACTCGGGTTTCTGACAGCAGGGGTTGGTGGGGTCGTATGCCATGGTGCAGTAGTAAGGCATGTTCGGGTAGCGCGGACAGCTGGACAGATGGACAATAGAGTGATTATATGATACAATATTTGTTCTGTTTGTTTGTTGTTTAACGCCGCACTCAGCTATATGACGGCGGTATGTAAATAATCGAGCCAGACAATCCAATGATTGTTGCATGTCATCATATCCAAATTGCGTAGATCGATGCTCATGATGTCAATCACTGGATTGTCTGGTTCTACTTACAGACCACCGTGATACAGATGGAATAACCATTAGGGCTGCGTTAACCAACAAACAACAAACAAAAAGTGTCAAACAAGTAAAGTGCCAAATAGAAATAAAATAGTTGTGAATCATGTTTTTTTTTCTGATCCATCAACCTGTAAACATAAATGAAAGTTTTCGTTTTAAATAGTGCGCATATGCAATAGCTTACATGTCAGTGCAGTCGTATTTGCCAGTGGTACCATCTTCACAAACACAGGTGTAGTCGCATCCGTCTTGCCACCTCTGACCCTGTTTGTAGGGCGTGCCCTTGTAGACACACACATCTGAGAACAAAACAGACCCTTTCAATTCATTGTGATTCAGACCGCTCTTATTCGCCGCTGATCGCTGGACCGGTATTCTACATTTCTCGATACAAATACACTTTTGCAAAAGAATGATACATGTTGTAGGAAGTCTCGATATTTTATTAACAAATCAATCTGGTCTGCACTGTCAAATATAATATCTCATCAGTTACGTTAGATGTTTATGCCTTAACTGAGTATATATTTAGTGTAAATGAATTGAAGAAAACGCCACTTTGAAATGCTTTCGCTAGACGTGATAATATTAAATGAAAGTTCAAAGCGATTGTGAGAAAACCATCAGCACATATAAGGTGTTGAGAGAACAAGGATCTCAATTGGGCGTATTTTTAATCCGAACATAGCGAGACGAGGAAGAAACGTGTTGTGACCTTTAATCAAAGTATGCATTGAATCTTCATTGGAATGTACAAACTGTTAGAAACTCTCACCTTTGAATGGGGGCGTGAGTGTGACCACGGGGGCTGGTGTGCTAACTCCTGGGGCGGGGCTGACCATTGGCTGGGGGGTAGGGGGTAGACCGTACCCAGTGATGTGACCGATGACCCCAGTGGGGACAGTCTTGTTGGTCTGGTCACACTGTGGCGCCAAACAGCACGTGGGGTCCTTGGCGTCAGGCACCATTACACAGTTGGGGGCGATGGAGTTGAACTTGGCGCACCTTGATTCAGAATGTTAAATAAGATAGGCATTGCAATTGATGTTATCATCAGGTTGGTTGGTTGGTTTGTTGTTTAACGCCGCACTCAGCAATATTCCAGCTATATGACGGCGGTCTGTAAATAATCGAGTCTTGACCAGACAATCCAGTGATTGACATCATGAGCATCGATCCACGCAATTGGGATTGATGACATGCTTTACCAAGTCAGCGAGCCTGACCACCCGATCCCGTCAGTCGCCTCTTACGACGCCTTTTACGGCAAGCATGGGTTGCTGAAGACCTATTCTACCCCGGATCTTCACAGGTCTATCACTACACTACACTACACTACACTACACTACACTACACTACACTACACTACACTACACTACACTACACTACACTACACTACACTACACTTTATTGACATACACAGGGTGCACACTATGAATATAATGTTCGTATAAATTTCCATGTCACTAAAACCGCAAAAATGTACATGTCACTACAGCTGTATAACCTCAGATGTCAATGCAGCTGTATACCTCTAACTATTCCCCTGTTAACTTGCCATAAAGAAAACGCCCCAGTAGATTTAGTGATAACTTACCTGTCGGTACACCTGACGAAGCCCGTCATGCCGTCCTCACACACACACTTCTTCTCACAGCCGTCATACCACTCCTGGCCTTGTGTGTAGGAGCGTCCATTGTACACACACACATCTGTAACAGCCAATACCACACGTCACACACACAACAGGGTCCATCAATAATACTTGTAACACAACTCCTATACTGTATATACCGTTGTTTGTTTGTTTGCTGTTTAACGCCGCACTCAACAACATTCCAGCTAAATGACGGCGGTCTGTAAATAGTCGAGTCTAGACCAGACAAGCCAGTGATTGGCATCATGAGCATCGGTCGACGCAATTGGGATACGATGCCATGCATCAACCAAGTCAGCGAGCCTCGCAACCCGATCCCGTTAGTCGCCTCTTACGACAAGCATAGTCGCCTTTTACGGCAAGAATCCTCTTTTACCAAAATCCGTTCCGTAGTGTCGAAGGTACAGACCACTGTTCTCCATCTGATTCATATGTCAAAGTGTTGGTGTGGGGTAACAGCAACGAGTTTAGTATTGATAAACGATCTAAAAATAATATATATTCTACACGCCAAGAAACTCCGTGTGTTGTCTTGTATGTTTAATTTGACAAATAACACCATATACACAGTATTGCAAAACGGCGTTGCTGTTAGCAAAACCAAACATTATTCTTCACAAAATGTATAATTATTCATAAAACATGACCGTGTCATGTGAGGCTAGAATTCTTCACCCAATACGGTAAAGAGTGCTATGTGGCGGCGAAGTCACTCAAATATAATTACGTGTCTGCTTACCTTTAATTTTGGGTGTCCCGGGGGTGGGGGTAATGTGTGAGCCGGGGCTTGGGGAGACGTTGCTGGGGTTGGGGTTGAGCCCGGGGCAGGTGGGGGTCTTGCAGCAGTTGTCTCGGGGGTCCTGCACCAGGATGCAGTAGCTAGGGATGTTCACGTAGTTGGGGCACCTGAAAGAATGTGTGAGTGAGTTTGGTCTAACGCCCCTTTGATCAGTATTTCAGTCATGACTTGGTGTGTCAGCATGATGTGGGAGGATAGCCTAAAGTGATGCATGTCTTAGACGTTTACCACTTTGGTGAAACCCACGAGTGCGGGTATAGTGCTGACAAACCTAGAATCATAATCAGGATGAATCGAGATTCGCACCCACGATCATAAGTCTCTGGCACATCTAAGGAAGCATTGTTCAGAAGTATTCCATCATATAAGCTTAGAAATATTATTAGGCTGGACATATGCCTCTTAAACTACTGGGCCTCTTTACGCAAAGCGACCTTAGTTTTAAACGGTCGTAACTCTCAAAGTTTAACATAGACATGTGATCATCATAACTTATCATTATGCCCCAGCTTAACTTAATTTCGCCTTATGTTTTGATTGGTGTATTCTGGGGTTCTTTCAAATCTGAACAAATCACGGATGTTATATGGTACATGCCTGTTCTAAAAGCGCCTACCCATACCTACCGGACTAACGACAATATTTCGGTACATATTTATGAACTGCACGTTTATTTATTATTTACGGTAAGGATGTATGAAGGTACTATAAGAAGAATAAAACCAGAATTTATGACAATAACGAAACACAGTAATTGAAGAAATCAAACAACACCAATCTCATGCTGAACCCACCTCTCGGTACACTTGTACTGGCCGGTACTGTCGTCAAGACACTCGCAGTTCATGCCGCAGCCATCCTGCCAGGTCTGGCCCTGGGTGTACTTAACGCCCTTGTACACACAGTACCCTGCGAACACAAACGGGGGTTAGTGTGACATAAACAAATCATTTGGTCCAGAATGTCAAATTTTGAAGTCCTGTACAATTTTGAAATGTTTCTATGAAACTCATCATCAATGTTGCAGTGACTTTCGTCTTTCTTGACAGATTAGTACACGATTAAATACATAAGTAGGGCTAAAAGGAATTTTCAAAATTCAAGAAACAATGTAAGTATGAGCCACTTCGGGATCCAAGATACGTATTTTACGGTAAACATGAACTGTTTTCATTCACATCTCCAAACATCAGCTTGGGTCAAAATTATATAAAAAAAACGTTTTTTGAAAACTTCTATAAAGCACCATTTTCGGCACATTTTAGCATTACCTCTACATTAAGTGTTGGAATAAATCCAAAACGTGCAAATATTCAAATGAACAAAGTCTAACTCTGTCTCATGTGAATACATCTGATAACTTTCACAACGATTTTCAAATATATGAAGAGTTTCCTCTTTTCCTAAGTTATACATACCCCGTGGGCCAAAAGGGGCCTTATCATATCTTGTCCTTAGTTTATATCTCCATACTGTCAGTCAGGGAATTGTAAAGGATCATGGGGCGTAACAAGTGAAGCCTTTATGGCAAACCGCTCGACTACCTATTACAAAGGAAAGCTATATATGTTAACATACCAATCTTCTCTAGCGGGTTGTGGTTAGGCGATTGCCCTGTGATAGTCCCGGGAACAGCTGTTGGGAGAGGGTAGGGGTTAGGGGTTGGGTTCTGGCCAGGGTTGGGGTTAGGGGTAGCTCCTGGGGCGAGGGTTGGGACCACGAAGCACTGTGGTACTTTGCAACAGGGATCCTTGGGGTCAACGATCAGAGTGCAGCCTGGGGGTGGGTTGTTGTAAGATGGACATCTGAAATTGAAATGGATTGAAGTAAAGATAAAAACTTCATTAATAAGGATTATGACGTTCCAACTGAAATGATCCGGATTAACAGATTACCGGGACCAGGAATTCTTATGTCATTAATATACCTTGTAGAAAATAGCTGTGTCCAGAGTAGTCTAGTAGACAAAAAGGAAGTAATTCCTATGTCAGTCTACCGCAATTGTTCATTTATTGCTGCTTGTACAATACAACAAACATTTGCTGTTTAACAAACTGTCGGTAGCTCACCTGTCATAGCAGTTGTAGAAGTTGGTGTCAGCGTCGTCGCACCTACACTTCCTGTCGCAACCCTCGGTCCACACCTGGTTCTGATTGTAGACCACGCCCTTGTAGACGCAGAATTCTGGGGGAGGGAATACATGGCACTATAGACAGGCAGTCAAGTTTGACAGGAATGTTTGACCTGTGCTTTTCATGATTTGATTTAGAAAGTTGAGGGTACATTTCAGTCATTGCCTCTGCTGTGTTCATCAGTGGTTTCTTTCTAATCCATTTATACTCACACTAATATCTTAAGCCACCCTAGGTTTACCATCTACACTAGTCGAGTCCCCGGGCTTTCGTGTGTGTATCACACTATAGGAGCCACCCTGGGTCTACCATCTACACTAGTCGAGTCCCCGGGCTTCCGTGTGTGTATCACACTATAGGAGCCACCCTGGGTCTACCATCTACACTAGTCGAGTCCCCGGGCTTCCGTGAGTGTATCACACTATAGGAGCCACCCTGGGTCTACCATCTACACTAGTCGAGTCCCCGGGCTTCCGTGTGTGTATCACACTATAGGAGCCACCCTGGGTCTACCATCTACACTAGTCGAGTCCCCGGGCTTCCGTGTGTGTATCACACTATAGGAGCCACCCTGGGTCTACCATCTACTCTAGTTGAGGGGGTTCCGTGTGTCGCTATATGATTACACCTATATGATTACCACAAAAGCCAAACTAAACCAACCCCACCCACCCCATCCGGTTTCTGCTGTCTGGATTGGTGTATCCCCTGGAAGTTTTGTGAAACTAGGACACTATAACCAACAAGTGATGAAACACAGGACACTCACTCGGCGTGGGCACTGGCGTCCCATTGGGCAGAGGGCTGACGTTGGGGTTTATTGTGGGCTTGGAGAAGTCACAGGCTAGCTTGTGGCAGCAGATGTCGGTGAGATCCCTCTGCAGGGTGCACTGGGGTGGCACGAAGGGGTAGGAGGCGCACCTGTGGGAAACAAGTCATTACCCCTTAGATAACACATCACGGTAACAGTTCCATGTTAACTTCAAACAGGTACATAAGTGATGGAGAAAACGAATGTATACACCCATGTTTGATGATGGCTAAAGATTATACAAACAATAAATGTTTATTCGATGGTGATGTATTTGACATGGGTATCATAGTTGTGTTTCGGACCTAAAGTTTGCAGTTTTTCAGCGACTTTTTTCCAGCCTAGTAACGTTTTGATAACTTTTGTAATTCTTTTGTCAAATCCAATTTGAAAGTGTATACTTTTTTTGCCCAGCAGTTTAATTTACGGAGTTAGTATATATTTCAATTATCATGCGATATGCCAGAGGTGAGGCACGGGCTACCAGACCATGGATGCCCGTGCCTGTAAGAACAACGATAGTGGATTAAGTGGTAAAGGGTTCGCAGTTGCAATTATTTTACTACTTGAGTAAAAGCTGAAGCTGATATATAGACGTTTATCTTAGACGTTTACAACTTCGTTAGACCCACGACCACAGTAAGTGTGCAGACAGATCATGGTATTTGAGATTCGAACCCAAGACCCAAGTATTCTTTGCATTTTTTTAAAGTTCAAGGACATGATATATTAACAAACTGAACACTTATTCATTCTGCCTCACCTCTCATCACACTTGTATTTGCCTGTGGTTTCGTCCTCACATATACAGTTGTACTTGCAGCCATCTTGCCACCTCTCTCCCTGGCGGTAGTCTCGTCCCTTGTATACACAGGAGTCTGCAACAGAGGCTGTCAGTCAGTCGGGGTTCTGGCTGGCAGGGCAATACTCCAGCAATATCAATGAATCTTTTAATAAGATCCGCCAATGGGACTAATTGTCTACTCTACAAACACAGGCTTTACCGAGTCTAAATGATGTTGTGATTTATGTTATTAATGTGGGTGGGTAAGTGAGTTAGATTAAACGCCGCTTTATACTGTATTTCAGTCCCATCAGTTAGATGAAAATCCCGAAGTGATGAAACCCATGAACACCCGTGCGGTGATGCATATGTTTACACAAAAGAAACGCGAACAGTAGAAACATATAGAGAAATATGTACGTTAAGAAAAGATGTTTCCAATCTGTACCACTTAATGACAAAAGTAACAATCACAATAGACTGCACGTGATTTCAAATCTTACACGGGAGACAAATGGTGCATTTCGAGTCATCGGACTATGACGTCACATATGATGATTTCATGAGCGTCGATTTACCCAACATACCAGTATGTTCGTCGAACCAATCTAATATCTCTTGAACATGAGTAATTCTTCGTATATTAACCAACATAGGATGGTATTCGCGTTTCTTTTGTCGGTGAGTATACATTTAAATGAAATGTTGACATCGTGTGTATCGTGGTATCTTACGTCGTGGAGGTGGCGTCTGTCCGCCAGGTCCTGGGGTCGGTGTTGGAGCGACTCCCGTCACGACGCCAGTGGGAATGTTGGCAGGTGTGGGAGATACGCCTGGCCCTGGGGTAAGGTAGCCATTAGGCCCGGGGGTAGGGAGACACTGTGGAACTTGACAACATTGAGGGTCCTTGGGGTCTGCTACCAAACGGCACTGTGGGGGCACCTTTCCGAAACTTGCACACCTGGGAATTAAGATGAAAATCATAAAACCTTTCCTTTTGGAAAAAAAAATACTTGCAAGACACGCATATTTCTTCAAAGCAAGAACAATAATAATGATATCCGAATGACAGTATGAATGGCATACAATTATATTGTTTATGCTATATGAACGTAACGTTGCCTAAGACACTTTTAGATTTTTCACCAGTAACACCAGTAACCCTACCTGGAGCTGCATCTGTAGTAGTTGGTCTTGGCGTCCTCACACACACACTTCTTGTCACACCCGTCATACCACTCCTGGCCCTCGAAATACTGCTGATTCTTGTATACACAAGATGCTATTGTAAAAGAACAACATGCTGATAAATATAATGTAGGAACTCTCTCCTTGTGATCATGTTCGAGAGGGCGGTCGGGGAGCCTAGTGGTTAAAGCGTTCGCTCGTCACGCCGAAGACCCGGGTTCGAATCCCGACATGGGTACAATGTGTGAAGCCCATTTCTGGTGTCCCCCGCCGTGATATTGCTGGAATATTGCTAAAAGCGGCGTAAATCCAAACTCACTCACTCACTCACTCATGTTCGAGAATAAGTCATGTAGGTCTGGTTACTTGGTTCATGCATGTCATCGATCCCAATTGCGTCGATCGATGCTCATGACATTGATCACTGGATTGTCTGGTTCAGACTCGATTATTTACAGACCGCCGTCATATAGCTGGAATATTGCTGAGTGCGGCGTAAAACAACAGACCAACCAACCAATCAATGAAAGTAATATTCCCTGGTGAAACAGATATAGTAATGTTATGTTACACAAGCTGCTAGGGTATATACCCATAAAATAGTATTTCCTTTTCTCATTTGTAGCGAGATATCATTTTATCACATCGTCAATACATCACGGGTCTGAATATACTAAATTCCCCCATCGCCATTGAATACATAGGGCCGTTTTACAGTGTATTCGTTGAAGTTAACCAATCAACCCACGGCCTGGTTCCAGCGAGAGGGAAACTAGCGAGTGTTTTGACCAATGAGTAAACATCCCACAAACGGCTATATGTCTCGTGAGACGTTTGCAACAGCCTTATGACCATCAACGCAACACATTGTTCCAATATCAGACAACAGCACACAGACAGAGTAGGGCTGGACAGTCTTCGAGATAATTTCATTATTTGACTTAAAATAAGCATGCGTCACCAAACCATCACATATCGGCCTATACTTTCACGGGTGACTGAGTAATCAAGTGAAGTATACAATGTATATATATCAGGGTATATTCGGTATATTCACGGTTTGGTGACAACTAGCGATAACTACTGTGATTAAAATCATGCTCACAGTTCGATCAAGGGTAATAAGTACAGTTGTAAGGTTGCACGATGGCTGTGTATGTTGATCAATGATACTTACGCAGAGGAAGAGGAGTGTTGATGTTGGTGTTGGGGGTGGGACTGACCCCAGGGACGGGGGGTGATGTCTGGAGCGACAATGGGTTTTGGCAACTTGGCTTCTTGCAGCAGGGTTCTGTCGGGTCGACAACCAGTGTACAGTATGCAGGGATGTTTGAATACGGGGCACACCTAGGATGGAAGTTGTCAAATGTTTTCATGGCAGCATCAAGGCATATGTTTTTTTCTGTATATGTATCAAGTAGAGAGAGAGAGAGAGAGAGAGAGAGAGAGAGAGAGAGAGAGAGAGAGAGAGAGCTGTGCTCTTGGCCTTTCGATTGCTGTAGATCTATAATTTGAGCTATTTTGAGTTTTTCTCTGGTTCTCTGGATTTATAATTTGAGATATCGTGTGTTTTTCTCTTTATTTATAACTTGAGATATCGTGTGTTTTTCTCTTTATATATAATTTGAGATATCGAGTTGACGTACTTCTGGACGCAGGTATATCTGCCAGTCTTCTCGTCATCACAGACACAGGAGTACTGACAGCCGTCATCCCACTTCTGACCGGTCTTGTAGTTGATGTTGTTGTAAGTACAGAACGCTGGCAAGACAAAACATAGTGTGGCGAGTTATGTACATGTATATGCTGGAAAAATAACATGTAATACAACATATCCACACTTGCTTTACTGTATTCGAGATAAGCTTCCTGGCTGCCAAGTTGTATTAGGCGGATGACTCACTGCATACAGTTCGGTACCTTAACGGTGCCAGATAACCTGGTGTGATACACTGGTAGCGATCCTAGTGACTATGGACCCATAGGATACAACGTTCTCGTGGCTGTCACCAAACAGCTTAGGTCTACAATATGACCCAGGGTTCTAATTCGCCACAATTCGCTGTGTAGAGTAGCTTGTTCCCTAATCCCATGATTGTGGGTTCGAATCCCAGTTGTCAGCACCATACTCGTGGGGTTCACCAAAGTGGTTCATTGTGTCAGGCTTTCCTCCCGCATTAAACTGACACGCCGTGATATAACTGGAACACTGTTAAAAGCGCCGTTAAACGCAACTCACACACACACAGTGACGTTCACAACTTACATGAATTTGTTGGGTTGTTGGTGTTGGGTTTGTTGACGGTCTGGCCGTGGATCGTTCCGGGGACAGCTGTGGGTACGGGGTAGGGGAAGGGAGTGGGATTCTGCCCCGGGTTGATTCCTGGCTGAGGGGTAGGGGGCAGGACCGGTTGGCAGGAGGGCACCTTGCAGCACACATCCTTGGGGTCAGCGATCAAAGAGCATCCTGGTTGCACCTGGAAGCTGGCGCACCTGTAAAACAACACGACTCATGCAGTTTGTATGTTGAAACTCCACTACACTGCCTCAAATTGGAGTTGACAGAAACTCTTGAAGTATTACTATTGACAACAACAGCCAAGTGGGTTTGTCGCTCTGTGTGGCTTACAGATGTTACAAGTAATATGGTTCATGACATTAATGTCTTGTTGAAAAATGTCCTTTGTCGACAGGAAAACCACATATAATTAATATAAAGACATAAACAGAGTGTAATATTAATATTGTTTTTAAAGCATGTTTGCAGGATAATAATTTATACACACGTTTAATTACTCGCGAAAAATGTATCAGACAAATCGTTTCAAATATCTGAGTGTTGGTTTGTTGAGCTGGGTTTAACGCCGCTTTGAACAATGTTTCAGTCATTTCACGACTATGTCAAACGGAGAGCTTGATGTTGGAAGAAAACCGGAAGTGATGCAGGTCTTAGACGTTTACAACTTTGGTGACACTCACGAGCACGGAAATGGTGCTGACAAACCTAGAAACATGATCTGGACGAACCGAGATTCGAACCCATAATCAAAGGTTTCTAGCAGGCCCAAGGGCCGACTGGGCTGACTACGTCATCGGAGTGTATGGAGTGCGCAGACCAGGATAATATATATAACCCACCTCTCGTCACATCTGTACACTCCAGTCTTAGCATCCTCGCACCTACACGCGAGATCACAGCCGTCATTCCACGTGGCACCCTGCTTGAAGGGGGTGCCATTGTACACACAGAAATCTGCAACAATACAATTACAAGCGCCATGATTAATTAATGGAGATAACAGTTTTATTTCCATTATGAGAAACAAAGAAACTAAGAAACTTAATTCAGTGTCCATGTACTTGTGATACAAATGATGTCAGGTACTTCCCCAATATATGTATGCATGTTTTAAAAAAGTGAACTTCATTCCATATATACTGCTCTTTCTCTTCTTTCTAAGGAAGCAATTTTACAGGGATTAAACTACCATAATTTGGATGAAATGGATAAAACCTGAAAGTTAATGGTTAGTCTACCTTTCTGAGTTGGTGGAGTAGGGGGGACACCAGTCCCTGTGGCCTGACCGGAAGTAGCTGAGAAGTCACAGTATGGTTTCTGGCAGCACGGGTTATAGATGTCTCTGACAAGGTGGCACTGGGCCGGGATCTGGGCGTACCGGGGACACCTACACATACAGCGTGTGTACATACGTGAGTGAGTCAGTGATATGTTTTTAACAGCGTGTTTCAGTAACAATTTCAACTTGATTTGGGAGGACAGCCCGAATCTATACAAGTGTTAGAACTTTACCACTTCCGTGTAACTCACGACCACGGTGCGGACCAACCTAGTAACACAATCTGGACGATTGGAACCCACATCAATTATGTCGATTTAAACGACTGGGACTATGAGATATTATAGAAGAGTCTTTCCAAAACACACACATGATCTGTGATAATTTTTTATTTATTTTTCTAATGAGAAAAGGAGGGATTGGTCGTAAAAACGTTAATTTACTTACTGTTCGGTACACTTGTACTTGCCGGTGTGGGCATCCAGACATTCACAGTTGTAGACGCAGCCATCTTGCCACTTTTGTCCCTGGGCGTACTGCTTGCCCTTGTATACACACACATCTGACGAAGGAGAGCACATGTGTTATTTCATCTTTTCATGATAAGTCAATGACTGTATCGTCAAAAACCCAAAATATAAAAAACGCATAATATTATATAAAATATTCCTCTAGGAGCAGATAGCAATACGTGGGATTGTGGAAAGTGCTTTCCTTTGGAGGTGGTGAGGTGAAAGGGAGTTTCACTCTCAGCGACGTATGTGTGTGTAGCTGCTTATACTGGGCCGGCCTTATGCCAGTTTTATAGTGTTAGCGCACTGAGATACCATGACGCATGGATACCTCCCTCATATACATTGTACTGACTCCGAGCCGACCAGTCCTTTTATTCTCGCCGCACAGGGTTAAAACAAGTACTATCTTTTAACGTCTTCTTGGTTGACAATCCAGGGGGTTCGAACCATGGACCTTCTGCTCTCTGGGAAGACGTGATATCCACTAAACCATGGAGGCATGTGTTTCCTTCAGGAAGATGTCCACGCAATTGGGACACTTTGACACTCCCCTCCCTCCAACCCACCAATCCAACTTAGACCCTTTTAGGACGATAATAGTACGGGGGCCTACATACATTCTAATGTGAGCCCCTACTGTAACATATGAGAATGAGGCAAGTCTTTACCTTTAGGTAGAGGTACCATGCCTGGGCCTGGAGTCGGTGATACCCCGGGTCCAAGGGATGGGGCCAGGAGAGGGTTAGGGGTGGGGATGACGCTGCCTCCTGTCACAGTGCCCGGGGGAATGGATGGGAGGACGAAGCCTGTGTTTGAGCCGTTGGTTGGGGTGAAGGAGCAGGTTGGACGCTTGCAGCAGAATGGGTCCTGAGGATCGGCCTCCAGATGGCACCCCTTGGGCAGGTTGTCGTACACTGCACACCTACGTACAGACAAACATGGAGGTGAACTTGACGCAGGTAAAATATCCTAACAAAAACTATATGGGTAGAGGTCATTGGAAGACATAGGGTTATTTTTGTTGAGATATGGTTTGCAATCTCTTCATAAATCACGATGCAACTTTTCTTATATGCAAGTGAATGAATGTGAAATCTTCACGGTCTGGTACCTATAACTATCTTGGTCTTAAACTATCTATATCTAACAAGCCCTTCTTGTGTCTACAGTAGCCATAAGGAAACAAATTATACATGCAGTAGAGTTTGACACACTTACGTTTGCATCTGATTGGAGTCACTTGTGTTTTTAATTTTGCAGTATACCACCAACATATATATCACCAATATATACAACCAATATGACGGCGGGGGACACCAGAAATAGGTTTCACGCATTAAGGGAATCGAACCTATGCATTGGCGTGACGAGCAAATGCTAGGGTCCCCACCTCCTCGCAGCCGACTGGACAAGATTATAACACATATATTTTATTTATGATATAAAGTGTTCGGGTGTTTGTCTCACCTCTTGTTACAGCGGTATATGCCCTGGTCACCGTTCTCGCACTCGCAGGTGTAGTCACAGCCGTCGAACCACTGCTGACCGGTGGCGTAGCTTGTACCCTTGTACACGCACATACCTGGGGATACGGGGATTGATATCAGTGCAAAAAATGACAGCTACCTTCTGAACAGCATATTAATATATTATAATATTTCAAAAGGTTTTATTGTCTGTTATATAGTATCACTATTACGAAATAATATCTGCTAAATAGTATTACTATTATAATTCTAAATAATTCATTTATTATAATGAAATTAAACATATTTGTAGATCTTATTTAAATGAAAAAAGCACACATCTTGGGCCATCACACGGTCAGGTGTCAATGTGTATCGTTAGCACTCGATGTAGCATTACTAATTAATGCATCGTAAGTTCTCTAGGCACTTATAGCCGCACTGGCATCGGACTGTTTTAAGATTTTTCTCAACCTTTCGTCAATCAATTAACACGTAGTGAATCGCCAATCGTCAATGTTTCGCCAGATCATACATCTTGGGTTCCGAATCCAACTTCTAAAATCGTGGTAACACGAACCATAACTATATATATATAAAGCTTCAATGTATTGAGAAGGGACCGGTGGCCCAGTCGTCAAAGTAGTCGAAACTCGCTTTGCAGATTTGCGTCCCTTAGGGACACCAGAAACCTATGATCGTGGTTTCGAACCCCGAATTGCCCTGATTAGGTTCTAGGTTTGTCAGCACCATAACCGTTCTCGTCGGTTTCATCTAAATGATACACGTCCGAGACCTGCATCACTTCGGGCTTTCCACCCACATAACGCAGACACGTTTCTGATAACTTGAATACGGCTCAAAACAGCGTTAAAGCCAACTTTCGTTTGTCCTCAAAATACTACAATTCGTCAATATAACGTTTATCCTTAATGTGTAGTTTGTCCCCAATGTACTATCAGTCCTAATGTACAATGTATCACCATGTTTTTTTTATCAACCGGAAGTAAAGACCTTGAAGTCTGACCTTTAGGTTTGGGCGTGACACCTGGAGCGGGTGTGAACTGACCATGTCCAGTCAAGCCACCGCTGTGGCCGCTGAAGTCGCACACGGGCACCTGACAGCAGGGGTCACTTGGATCCTTCATCAGATTACACTGGGGAGGCAACCCAGCGAATCGGGGACACCTGAAATACCATGTCACAGGCTTGTCACATGCTTAACCCCTTACTTCATCAGGATAAGAGCTAGTTACAAGACACATGAGAACATATCGGATGGAGAATTGCAAACACAGTTGAAAACTATGGGAGCCACTGTACGTTTCACAGCGAATGAACTTTCTTCCTCGACTGCTCGTTTTTTGAGTGAGTGAGCATGGTTGTACGCCGCTTTCAGCCATATTCGGCAAGAGACACCAGAATGTGGTTACACACATTTTACCCACGTTGGGAACGAACCCGGACTTCGACGTGACGAGTGAACGCTTTAAGTACAAAGCTACCGCACCATCCCAACAGGATTTAGGGTACAAGGAGTGGTCAGAAGGCTTTCAGAAACTCCACCTGCGCCATAAATGCAGCCCTGTTTAGTGAGTGAGTGAGTATGGTTTTACGCCGCTTTTAGCAATATTCCAGCAATATCACGGCAGGGGACACCAGAAATGGGCTTCACACATTGTACCCATGTCGGGAATCGAACACGGGTCTTCGGCGTGACGAGCGAACGCTTTAACCACTGGGCTACCCGACCGCCCCGCAGCCCTGTTTAAACGTCCACATACTAACCTCTCAGTGCACTTGTACTTGCCAGTCTGATCATCCAGACATTCACAGTTATAGCTGCAGCCATCTACCCACGTCTGACCTTTGTGGTACTGCTGACCTTTGTATGTACATACCGCTGAAAAATAAGGTCTGTAATCACGTTTTTGTTCGCCGGCAAAAAGGCTGACTTTAGGTACAATTTCAATTAAACAATTTTAAACAATGTCAAGACAACGCTTTTTGGAATTACAAAAAAACAATTGGCTACTCTTAGCGACGTCAGTAAGCGAAAACAGTGATCCTAGGACCCGATCGCTTTGTTTATGCTAGATCCATTGGTAGTGGGTTACTCACAGACGGGTATGGGGGTCTGCCCAGGCTTTGGGGTGGGAACCTGACCGGTGATGATGGCAGGAGCCAGGGTGGGAATGTTGCTCGGGTTGCCTGAACCAGTAGTAGACCCTGACGTCGACACGAAGTGGCACTGTGGTTTCTGACAGCAGGGGTCAGCGGGGTCAGTGACCATTTGACACTGGGATGGGATGGAACCGAACTTCGGACATCTTGAAAGTCATGGAAAGAAATACATTTATTACCAATTTATATGTTTTACCCTTTTACGAGTGAAATTTACCCCGCTTTTAGCAAAAAGCCAGCAATCTCAGCGAATACCAGAAATGGACTTTACAAATTGTACCTACATTGTATGTGGGGAAGCGAACCAAGGTTTTCGGCGTGAATAACGAACCCTTTCACCACAAGGCTATCTTCCATCCCTGATATGTTTAAGATTCATGGAGATTAATATCATCATTAATGGTACCAAATACAATCATTATTTCAGATATCACAACGAGGAAGACCTTATAAACGATGGTCATCACACAGTTCTGCCTGTGAAACGACCAATCTGGGTGTATCTGGGTGATACGTGGTCTTTACGGGTGAGTGAGTATGGTTTTACGCCGCTTTGGACATTATTCCAGCACTATCAGAAATGGGCTTCATACATTGTACACATGCAGGGAAACGACCCCAGATCTTCGGCTTGACGAGCGAACGCTTTAACCACTAGCTACCCTAACGCCCCTATACAGGTCAAAACCAAGGCGTCATGTAATGGTATTAAACATACTACACATGATGAGAAAGAGGCAAGGTAAAGTTCACCTGTCGTCACAGACGTAGAGTCCCTTCACAGCGTCTTCGCAGCGGCAGGACTTGCTACAGCCGTCCTTCCATGTCTGGCCCTGGTAGTACTTGGCAGTGATGTAGGTACAGGTGGCTACAACACAGGGACAACACTACACCCACTGTCACACAACAAAACAAGAAGTCTTTCGGGTTCTCTTCATCAAGCATAGTATACAATTTACGTTGTGTACACGTTATACCGTACAACCCGATAACTTCTGCATGCAAACGTCACTTTAGTGTGTCGGTTTTAAACTTGCTCAGATAGTATGAATGGACAACTTTATTATAATTACAGCCACGTATAGGTGGGGAGACTTACACCGTTATCAAACAAGAGACACGAGACATCAAACGTCTTAACAATTGTAATAACGCAGTTACTCATCCACGCTATCAGTCATACATAGTGTGTAATGGCCACGTAAATACAGGTTGTGTACTTGTTGTGAGTGAGGATGACTTCAACCCGCTATTAAGCAACATGTCAACAACAAAAATGGCGCCCCTGAATGGACCTCACACACAGGACCCATGTTTTGGGTCTGACAAGCGAATACTGTATATCTTATAGTTAGTTTATAGGGTAAATATGTGCAACTATGTAACGGGGACACAGGTGACCAAGTTTTTTTAAGGCGCCACAATTGATTGTACAGAGTTGTCTTCTTTCACAAGGGGGCACGGCGGCCAAGTCGTCTGAGGCGCCCTGATTCGCTGTGCAGAATTGCATCCCTTGGGCATGCCAGAAACCTATGATTGTGGGTTCGAATCCCGGTTCGCCCCGATTACGTTTCTAGGTTTTTCAGCACCATACCGTGCTCGTCGGTTTCACCAAAGTGATAAACGTCTGAAACCTGCATCACTTCGGGCTTTATTTCCACATCAAGGTGTCACGCCGTCAGATCAGTGTAGTGTTAAAAAACGCGTGAAAACCAAACACTCACGCTCACTATGTTAACAACATGTATACATACGCTGTGGTCCGGGGGAGGGAGTGACGTGGCCAGCGCCGCTGATTCCTCCAGAGGTACCCTGGAAGTTACAGTCGGGGACCTGGCAGCAAGGGTTGGAGAAGTCGGTCACAAGCCGGCACTGTTGGGGAAGGCTGGCATAACGAGGGCACCTGTATCGGGGAATGAAGATTTGTGAAAATAACAGTTAATTCATGTCTTCGATCTTCCTTCAATCGAGCTGTCAACTGAAAACGTCATACGTAATGTCCCTATCATAATCCTTATTCGCTCTCCTCATATTTCGAATAACGGATTTCACGATGTACAACTGTGGGTTCATTAAATTTCGAATTGACGGAGTGTAGCCGAATGTGTTCACTGCTGTGTCACATAACACTTGGAGGCACCAAAACATCAAGCATTAATTCACAATTTCCTAAAAGTTTCCCAAATATTCTGAAAACTTTCAAAGTCAAAACACCGGCTTAGGTTACACAATAAACAGTAAAACTGGTTCGTACTGAATGGCAACCAGTTACTGTGGGATCAAGTCACCACAACTTCATTTAGAGTGAGTGAGTGAGTATAGTTATATGCCGCTTTTAGCAATATTCCAGCAATATCACGGCGGGGGACACCAGAAATGGGCTTCATACATTGTACTCATGTCGAACGCTTTAAATACTAGGCTACGTGACCGCCTGTACTTCATTTAGAAGCTTAAATGTAAAATTATTTTACGCTGCTTCAACAGAAGTCTACCAACATCATGCCATGTGAACGCCAAGAACAGACTTCCAATAGTGTTGGAATGGAACCCGGAGTCCGCATAGCTGGCGAACACTTTACCCACTAGGCTACTCCACCTCCCTCTCTCATACCAAGCGGAACTTGAGTTGTACGTACATGTCCGTGCATCTGTAGCTGCCTTTGTCTGCGTCTTCACACTCACAGGTGTACTGACAGCCATCTGTCCACTTCTGGCCCTGGTTGTACTTCTTCGTCTTGTACAAACAGTACCCTGTAAAAACCAAACTTGAAGTTGTCATTTTCAACAGGGATAACCCACAAAACAACAATTAGTCATGTTAGTACTTGTCATCTTGTACAGAAACAACCAACAAAACAACAAATAGTCATGTTGGTACTCGTCATCTTGTACAGAAACAAACAACAAAACAACACATTGTCATGTTGGTACTCGTCATCTTGTATAGAAACAACCAACACACTTTTTACCAGGTGTTTTATGTATTTCTCCCTGACGCACTAGAACGTTTGTACCGATAGTTGCTACCGTTGAACACCTGGTGTCATCACTGATTTTCAGTGATCCATTCGTATAATGTTGACCACTATTTTACCTTTTACGCCGAATAAAATCTGTTTCGTCAGACTATAAATACTGACGCCTTATACTTACCTATCTTGGTGTGTTCTCCTGGGTTCTGCCCATTGCCAGTGATCTGCCCCGGGGGGATGGTTGCGGGGGCGCCTGTCCCTGAGACGGAACCTGACGTGGAGTTGAAGTCACAGTGAGGGACGGTGCAGCAGGTCGGATCTATGGGGTCGGGCAGCTGCGTGCACCCCTTGGGTACGTTGTAGTACAGTGGGCATCTGAAGGACAACATGCCTGGTGAGCAACTGTCGCTATGTATTCCTACACGTCTCTTGTAGACTGGTGATATATGGAGTCCAGTGGACTGTGATAACATTTGCCTTATATCTTACACATATCCAATATCAAGTTACATATCATTATCAAAGACGGTGGACTGTGTTTCCGTGTTCGTTTTGTGTGGTTCTTAACTACGTTGCAAGTACGCGTGTAACTGATACATATTATACAACTGATTTATTACACAGTTAAGCTTAGGTACTCAAATAAATAATTTTGCCAAAAGTTTTACAAAAAAAACATACTTTTCGCTGGTTCTCCTTTCAAAGAAAAATTATTTTTTTCTAGACTCATTTCTAACAAAAATCCAAGACCCCAGAATATTAAATAGTCGGTCTAATACCATAGTAGTTAAGGCGGTTATACAGTGAAACCTCGTTAATCCAGAGAGCATCCAAGTGAAATGTCAGGCCTGATAAATGTCTGGATTAATGAATCAGGACTACGAAGTAAAGTCCTTTGTGCATAAGTAGACGTCCCAAGCATGCACCTAGAATGCAGGGTTTTCCAGTATTCTAACTCTGACGTATGAACAGTCCGTCTCACCTGTTGGCACATCTGTAGTATCCTGACTGAGCGTTATCGCAGGAACACTTCATGCTGCAGCCGTCGTACCACTGCTGGCCCTGGGCGTAATTCTGGCCCTTGTACACACAGTACGCTGGACGGGACAAAACACCGGGTGTTAGGAAATTCCGGCATACTCAACATTACATACACCCACAACGAATTACACACACGATATCGAAACTATGGAATAGTCAAAGGGGCATTCTCGCGTTTGTGAGATCTCGCATTCTGACAAGTTTTACAGATTGAGCTAGTTTCTTAAGGTCGATATAGCGAAAAGGATACATATAGTCAATTCTTTATCATTTGTGTTGGAATTGATGCCCGTCTTTTTCACAATGTATCGTTCTGGCGTTAAAGAGATGGCAAGAGGGTCAAAATTTGTCTGCAACCTCAATATGCAGGCTATTCGCAGCGGGTCTCACCTGGTCTTGGGGTGGTAGGTTGTGCTGTGACCACAGGCTTCATGGTGATATGGGGGGTCGTATACGTCCCTGGGTGACCGGTACCGTAGATCTCTTCGAATTTAGGATTAAATTTGCAAAACGGCACCTGACAACAAGAATCGCTGGGATCCGGAATGAGCCAGCATACATCCTTTGGCAAGTCGTCGTATGTTTTACACCTGCAAGTTAAAAACAATGTATATTAAAGACTTCAATTATTCATGAAATAATGGACCTAACAAGAACCCGGACTAATGGGCGGTAAACATAAACAGAATAACATACATGTGGAATAACGAAGAAACATACACATGGGATATACATATATTACCATTACTAGGATGACGATATATCCATAACATGTACATGACCTACCGACCTAACACATACGTGAAATGACGGACCTTAGATACACATGGAATAACAGAGCTTACATTAACATGGAATAACGGATCTAGGATATAAGACCATAGAATACGAGAACACCGGGTGCTTCATAACTGAATTACAGTGATACATTCATTGAATTTTCAGCGCTATTTGTCCTTTCACGCCCATTTTGGTTCGGCAAATGCACGAGACTGATGTTCTCTGGTGTTGACATTTCATATTTACATACAAGGTAGTAAACGGAACGGATCTTACTGATATATCGAGCGCTAAACGAATCCAATATACATGTTCATACTGGATAGTAGTTTCTAGCATACCTACTGGATAGTGAGTGAGTGAGTGAGTTGGATTTAACGCCGCTTTTAACAGTATTCCGGTTATATCACGGCGTGTTAGCTTAATGTGGGAGGAAAGTCCGAAGTGATGCAGGTCTCAGACGTTTACCACTTCGGTGAAACCCACGAGCACGGGTATGGTGCTGACAAACCTAGAAACATAATTGGGTCAAATCGGGATTCGAACCCAGAATCATAGGTTCCTGGCATGCCCAAGGGACGCAACTCTGCACAGCGAATCGCGGCGCCTTTGGCGACCTGGCCCCCGTTCCCCCTACTGGCATACTCAGTTATTAACGGATTTAAACAAATGGACCATCTCCATGCAGTACCATGATTAGGATATTCCGAGTTTTAGCCGGGTGCGTTTCCATATCCTTGATATCAAATATTATAAATAAAATGTGATAAAGCTAAGTACCTGTCTAAGCATCTCCAGAATCCATCATATGCCCGCTCACACACACACTGATACTTGCAACCATCTTCCCACCTCTCGCTCTGAAGGTAGTGGCGGCCCTTGTACTCACAGAAGCCTGTGGGGACAACGGTTTTCATCAACACTGGTATCTATAACTTTAAGTGATATTTTATAACCTGTTGTATCAATGAGGGTGATATGGATTACAACTCATATATTCTTTCAATACGACAGTTCGGTACACATGCATGTAAATCATTCAATCAAGGCTACGTTTCTGTACAGATGCTTGTGTTCTTTCAATCAAAGCTACGTTTCGGTACATAAACAAGAACATTGTTCAATCAAGGCTGCGTTTCGGAACAGACACTAGTATATTGTTCAATCAAGGCTACGTTTCGGAACAGATGCTTGTTTTCTTTCAATCAAGGCTGCGTTTCGGAACAGACACTAGTATATTGTTCAATCAAGGCTACGTTTCGGAACAGATGCTTGTTTTTCTTTCAATCAAGGCTGCGTTTCGGAACAGACACTAGTATATTGTTCAATCAAGGCTACGTTTCGGTACAGATGCTTGTTTCCTTTCAATCAAGGCTACGTTTCGGTACAGATACTAGTTTATTGTTCAATCAAGGCTACGTTTCGGCACAGATACTAGTGCATTGTTCAATCAAGGCTACGTTTCGGCACAGATACTAGTGCATTGTTCAATCAAGGCTACGTTTCGGTACAGATACTAGTGCATTGTTCAATCAAGGCTACGTTTCGGCACAGATACTAGTGCATTGTTCAACCAAGGCTACGTTTCGGTACAGATACTAGTGCATTGTTCAACCAAGGCTACGTTTCGGTACAGATACTATTGCATTGTTCAATCAAGGCTACGTTTCGGTACAGATACTAGTGCATTGTTCAATCAAGGCTACGTTTCGGTACAGATGCTAGTGCATTGTTCAATCAAGGCTACGTTTCGGCACAGATACTAGTGCATTGTTCAACCAAGGCTACGTTTCGGCACAGATACTAGTGCATTGTTCAATCAAGGCTACGTTTCGGGACAGACGCTAGTAAATCTTTCAATCAAGGCTACGTTTGAATAAGTTCTATTCCACTAGCAAAGCAGTCTTTACTTGCCCACTATGTTGTATCTTTGTTTATTTGCAATTGAATGACCATTTTGTGTTTTTTCTTGAGTCAGTAACAAGCTCAAGCTAAAAATACTGTTCTTACTGTCGAGGAAGGTCTGAGTGAGTGTGATTTCAGCAATATTCAAACATGATCACGGCGTTGCACACCAGCAATTGGTTCACACACTGCACCGATATTGGACATAGAACCCGGACCGTCGGCGTGACGAGCGAACGCTTTAACCACTAGACTAAGCCACCGCAAGACAAAGAAGGCGAGAGGCGTGTTAATGTATATGCGTGATTATAGGGAAAGGATATAACTGAAAGAACAGTGTACCTATGCCTCCGGTCCCTACAGCCCCGACTGGTACGGTTGGTGGGGCTACCGTGCCCCCACTGAAGTTGATCGTTACTTCATTTGTAAAGAACCCAGAAGTAAGGTCAACGATGCTTGGAGGTTTGACTTGGGAGGTGGTTTGTTTCCAAGGTTGGTACACGGGTTTGGGAACATAGCTGATGGATGGGGGGCACTGGGGCACTGTGCAGCACTTGTCGCTGGGGTCAGGGGTCATCTGGCATCCAGCAGGAACTCCGTCGAATTTGGGACATCTGGAACAGGTCATTGAGGTCATTACATGTTACTGTAGAAGATTTGGTTATTTAATCTACCCAGCGTTTGACAGGGATAACGAGATATGTCAATTTACGCTTGACCTATTATGAGAATCAGTTTTATGTATCAAGGAAAGAAAAACAACGACCCTATCAAAAATGGAGTAGTATAGTTGTGGGTAGCGGGTAGGTGCCAATATCATACAGATACAAGAAATGGGTAGAGGAGAAATTATGTCCAGTTTGTATGTTACTTCCTTACCGGCTTAACCTATCATGCTCTTTTCGTTACATAAATACGTTGAGTGAGTATGTTAGCAATATTTCAGCAATATCACGACGGGGGACACCAGAAATGGGTTTCACACATGGTACCCATGTGGGGAATCAAACCCGGGTCTTCAGCGAGACGAGCGAATGCTTAACCACTAGGCTACCCAACATGTAGTGGGCATGTGCATCTTTTCTACATTTAGCTGATCCAGAATCAAAACAAGTACATTTTACTGAGACCGACCAAAACATCTTTCAGACATTATTCTCTCAGCACAATTACTGGTTTCACAGTATGAGACGAGCAACAAGACATCGTTGTAATGGAAACTGTAATTGTTCCTACCATTCACATGTTCACACAGATATAGGAGCACATAATGAATAAAAAAGAAAACAGTAAATAGGGTTCGAATGACTGGATTTATCGCCATTGTGTATCGGGACATAAGTGGTAATCGATAGTACCTTTCTCTGCACGCGTATATTCCCGTTGAGGCGTCGTTGCAGGTACAGACCGTGGCACATTTATCTTCCCACTGCTGGTTCTGGACATACAGCTGACCATTGTAAAGACATCCGGCTGTGAACAGTGAAAAGTCAAGCAGCTGTCGCCAATTGTCACGTGTATTCCATATTTGAAAAATATGCATTTTCGTGGAGTGATTCGTGACTTATATGTATACTGTTTTCCTTGTGGAACTATATCATTTATGACAAGGTCCCGATTGAACATATCTACATAATTTAAATTTTGAATTCAAATCATGCATTTGATTAATAATACGTGTTGCTTCTTTCAGGTAAATTGAGCGTTGAGTTCTGAACCATGAGATTGAATGAGTGAATCTGGGTTAACTATCTCATTGTTCCAATGTTACCCGACATTCCTACGGCCTACCGACTACCCAACCCGATTCTGAAACCCCATTTGTATGCATTATGAACACATCTTAAGTTAAAAGTTTATGAAGTACCAACTGATAATTAGATGCACATCACCCAAAGACCCGTGAAGATCCGGGGTAGAATAGGTGTTCAGCAACCCATGCTTGCCGTAAAAGGCGACTATGCTTGTCGAAAGAGGCAACTAATGGGATCGGGTTGTCAGGCTCGCTGACTTAGTTGATGCATGTCATCGTATCTCAAAGGTATGGATCGATTCTCATGATGTCAATCGTTTATTTACAGACCGCCATCATATAGATGAAATATTGATGAGTGCGGCTTAACACAACAAACAAACAAACAAAACATCACCCCAAAGTTAATGAAGCTGAGAAACATAACATCTCTCACATAGTTTAGGGGGCTGCATCCCCGTGCCTAGGGAACTGCCTCCGTTTCCTGTCCCTGTCCCTGTGGATGGGTTAGGGGTCACACCGTTGATGTTGATGCCGCCCCCGCTGCCGATACTCTGAAGGTTGGTGGAGGAGGAGTAGAAAGACCCGGATGTACATTTGACGGTTTCGCAGCAGTCGTTGACCTTCTTATCCGTCTTGCACTGAGGGGGGAGGTTGGTGTAGGAGGGACACCTGCAGGGAGGAGCACACAGGCCGTAGGTAGGTATATTCGCCAACAATAATGATATGCTGTTTCCTAGTTGAACAATATCTAGATATTTCACCTTAATTGTTCAATTACATTATTGTATACAAAATTAGCGTTCCCATATGTACATGTCAAAAATAGTTGTTTTGAAACTTTCGCATCTAGATCAGAAGTATCTACATTTCATTTTTGTCTGTTTGTTTCTACTAGAAATGCATATACATTTAAATTGTCAAATTGTCATGACATGATGAGTATATTACTGATAGATTCTTTTGTATTGAACGTCGTGCTATGCTATTCCATTCCTGTGGTTATTACCACTGTTATTACAATACCTCTAATACATGTCAAGCATCATATTAGTTATCCAATAATTATATAATGAGCTGTAAATGATATTGTTTATCTGTATGTGTATATGGGCCAATGGCCTTTCATACAATAAAGATTGATTGATTACATGTCAACTTAATATTAGTTAACTAGTCCTGGTGACTGTCACAAACGTCTTTACCAGTAAGAGGAGGCATATTTAGGGCATTGGCGGAGATCGAGAAAATGAGGCTTTAAGGCTTGTCCATTGTCATCTTCAATGATAATTTGGGACACGTAAAACACAGAAATGGATGGGTTTTTTTTATCTTTTTCGGGGGTATTGGGATGGGTGGTTGGGATGGGTTAAGGGCGAGACACTCACGTATTGGAGCATCTGTAGTAGCCATAGATTGCGTTTTCACAGACACATCTTTGGTCGCATCCAATGGCCCATGTCTCTCCTTGTTTGTGGGCTTGGCCCTGGTACACACAGGCATCTAAGAGAGAACAGTAAGTGGTGGCGATACATTTCTACATAGTGTTGCGTGAGTCAGTATCGTTTTACGCCACCTTTAGTCAATATTCCAGCAATATCACGACGGGGACCCCAGGAATATGCTTCACACATTGCTCTCCATACAGAACGTTTTAACCACCAGGCTACCCCACCGCCCTTGTTTTATGTAAATAAAGTCAACTTGAAACTTGGTTTTCAAAACATGTTGAGGCATCAATTGGAGTTGAGCAATTGATACGTCGGATAAGGTATGCATAGGCCATCACTGAGAATACCAGTTGATACAAAGATGGAATTTACACTGGATCTGAACAGCATTATGCCACAGTGGGTTAATTTATGTTTGTTTTGAATCGCAGATGGATAATAATATAATGTTCAGGCTTATAAATATTTACACGAGTATGGCTCATTGAACATGTGCTTACCGTTCGGTCCGGGAGTTGGGGCTGCTAGATCTGGTAACAGAGCGAAAACAAACCAGTTTATTGGAGGTTTAACAGCAAAAAGGGTACCAAATTATACATAAATCTGTAGCGTTTCTAGTACATCACGTTTGTCATGAGCGACATTGTTAAATTTGCTTCTTCAAAATGAGATGTTCTTAAGTGATGTGAAAGTAAAGAAATGGCGCGTAAAGCAAGGAAATGGCGCTATTGTGTTAAACAGATATATATGCATAGAGCTTGTCATTTGTCAGTTGTCATGGAACAATATAACGTCATTCATTGTATTATGACATCATAGCATTCCTGAGTGACGTCATATATGTTTCACAGCTGTTTGAGTACGTTGAACGATTTATGTTTTCCAATGTCCGTAAACAGTTGTGTTTGTTTTTAGAATCGCGGGTGTAATTGAGTACCCGATGCGAGGAATACGTTACATTTGAAACCTCAAGTGTTGGACGTAATGTTTATACCCTAAATCACATGAGTAAGAACGCTCTTGACGATATCCTCATCAGAGTCCAGCTTTCTTTGTCTGGCTTAGTTGTTACCATAAGAAGTCGTAGTAAGAAGACCATTTTTGTTGTACTTGAGTATAACGCGACTCATTACTAACTGGTGGCACTGTTCATATTGCCTCCGTTTGCTTTTGTCGTCAAACGAAAGTGTAAACCTAATTTCTGTTAGGCACGGCATAACGTGGCTTCAGATACGGCTGTTGAACTATAACGAAGTGTATCCGTCGGGATCTGGCGTCACACTGTTTACACCTGATTCACACAATATCACTAATTCACTACTGTCCGATGCATTATACTGATAACGACATAAACCAAATGGACCCGAATGGCGTTGTCATAACCCATCTAAACATTGACATATTTTTATACGATGATTGGGATATTTAGGTTATGGAAAGGGACAAAAAATATTTTGACAGCAATGAGTGAAGCCACCGTTTGGACTCCCCAATGTACAAGAGTAGCAGTTGATCTTGACAAAACGCCATTATATATTTCATTTCTTTGTTGATTTGATGGTTGGGTGTTTCTTGACACTTACGACATAGATCACAGTATTTCTTGCAGGTTGACCCGGCCCAGCCTGGATATTTGGGACAGGCTTCCTTGGTATAGTCTGCACAGTTGGGTATTTTATCCACGCATGCCGAGGCGGCGGTGGGATGCAAACCTGGAATATCAGCATACAGTGTCGTGTAGTAAACAGCAATCCCCGTCCGTGTTGATACCATTGCTTAGTAATTGTGCACAGATCCCCACAGCAGAGATTGTTATTTAACTCTACTCTTTAGCGGGATCAAACCGAAATCATACTGCTCCCACGTTAACACTAACCTCCTTATCAGTAAACTTGCGGTTGACACATGGAATGAATAAGGTTTTACACCTCGGACGGGCTTCACCCTTATACCCCTGTAAGGAACTGAACACAGATCCTCGGCGTGATAGTGTGAGTGAGCGAGTATGGTTTTACTGTGCTTTTAGCAATACTTCAGCTATATCAATTACTAAATAAAAGAGATGTTGAGAAATTTATACTTCGAGTGAAATAGAAATGGATAGTGTATGATCAACTGACTTATGCCAGCTCCGCTGACGGAACCGCTTCCCGAAAAACTTCCAAACTGCTTGCTGAAAGTACACTGGGGCCTTTCACAGCATTGTCCCGGATCCTTGATCATGACGCAGTCAGTGGGCATCTGACCGTACACGGGACAGCTAAAACACAAGAGAGCGGGATGTTTTAGTTAGATGGAAGATTGTGAACAACTACAACACAAGAGAGAGGGATGTTTTAGTTAGATGGAAGATTGTGAACAACTACAACATAAGAGAGAGGGATGTTTTAGTTAGATGGAAGATTGTGAACAACTACAACATAAGAGAGAGGGATGTTTTAGTTAGATGGAAGATTGTGAACAACTACAACACAAGAGAGAGGGATGTTTTAGGTAGATGGAAGATTGTGAACAACTACAACACAAGAGAGAGGGATGTTTTAGTTAGATGGAAGATTGTGAACAACTACAACACAAGAGAGAGGGATGTTTTAGTTAGATGGAAGATTGTGAACAACTACAACACAAGAGAGAGGGATGTTTTAGTTAGTTGGAAGATTGTGAACAACTACAACATAAGAGAGAGGGATGTTTTAGTTAGATGGAAGATTGTGAACAACTACAACACAAGAGAGAGGGATGTTTTAGTTAGAGGGAAGATTGTGAACAACTACAACACTAGAGAGAGGGATGTTTTAGTTAGATGGAAGATTGTGAACAACTACAACACAAGAGAGAGGGATGTTTTAGTTAGATGGAAGATTGTGAACAACTACAACACAAGAGAGAGGGATGTTTTAGTTAGATGGAAGATTGTGAACAACTACAACATAAGAGAGAGGAATGTTTTAGTTAGATGGAAGATTGTGAACAACTACAACACAAGAGAGAGGGATGTTTTAGTTAGATGGAAGATTGTGAACAACTACAACATAAGAGAGAGGAATGTTTTAGTTAGATGGAAGATTGTGAACAACTACAACACAAGAGAGAGGGATGTTTTAGTTAGATGGAAGATTGTGAACAACTACAACACTAGAGAGAGGGATGTTTTAGTTAGAGGGAAGATTGTGAACAACTACAACATAAGAGAGAGGAATGTTTTAGTTAGATGGAAGATTGTGAACAACTACAACACAAGAGAGAGGGATGTTTTAGTTAGATGGAAGATTGTGAACAACTACAACACTAGAGAGAGGGATGTTTTAGTTAGATGGAAGATTGTGAACAACTACAACACAAGAGAGAGGGATGTTTTAGTTAGATGGAAGATTGTGAACAACTACAACACTAGAGAGAGGGATGTTTTAGTTAGATGGAAGATTGTGAACAACTACAACACAAGAGAGAGGGATGTTTTAGTTAGATGGAAGATTGTGAACAACTACAACACAAGAGAGAGGAATGTTTTAGTTAGAGGGAAGATTGTGAACAACTACAACACAAGAGAGAGGGATGTATTAGTTAGATGGAAGATTGTGAACAACTACAACATAAGAGAGAGGAATGTTTTAGTTAGATGGAAGATTGTGAACAACTACAACACAAGAGAGAGGGATGTTTTAGTTAGAGGGAAGATTGTGAACAACTACAACACTAGAGAGAGGGATGTTTTAGTTAGATGGAAGATTGTGAACAACTACAACACAAGAGAGAGGAATGTTTTAGTTAGATGGAAGATTGTGAACAACTACAACATAAGAGAGAGGGATGTTTTAGTTAGATGGAAGATTGTGAACAACTACAACACAAGAGAGAGGGATGTTTTAGTTAGATGGAAGATTGTGAACAACTACAACACTAGAGAGAGGAATGTTTTAGTTAGATGGAAGATTGTGAACAACTACAACATAAGAGAGAGGGATGTTTTAGTTAGATGGAAGATTGTGAACAACTACAACACAAGAGAGAGGGATGTTTTAGTTATAGGGAAGATTGTGAACAACTACAACATAAGAGAGAGGGATGTTTTAGTTAGATGGAAGATTGTGAACAACTACAACACAAGAGAGAGGGATGTTTTAGTTAGAGGGAAGATTGTGAACAACTACAACACTAGAGAGAGGGATGTTTTAGTTAGATGGAAGATTGTGAACAACTACAACACAAGAGAGAGGGATGTTTTAGTTAGATGGAAGATTGTGAACAACTACAACACTAGAGAGAGGAATGTTTTAGTTAGATGGAAGATTGTGAACAACTACAACATAAGAGAGAGGGATGTTTTAGTTAGATGGAAGATTGTGAACAACTACAACACAAGAGAGAGGGATGTTTTAGTTAGAGGGAAGATTGTGAACAACTACAACACAAGAGAGCGGACTGAAGTGAGTGAGTGAGTATGGTTTTACGCCTCTTTTAGCAATATTCCAGCAATATAATGGCGGGGGACATAAATGGGCTTCATACATTGTACCCATGTTGGGAATCAAACCCGGGTCTTCGGCGTGACGAGCGAACGCTTTAACCACTGTGCTACCCGACCGCCCCAGAGCAGTCTGTAACTTAGATGGAAGATTGTCAGGTTGTGAACAGCTGAGAGAGAGAGGACTTTTGATACTATGGAAGACAGGCTATAATCAGGGGTCATGTCTTAGACTTAGACCTTACATTTTAGACTATCGTATTCAAATCCGTCTCGATACACTATATTTCGTTCCGTTCGGTTGATCTTCCCTTATCTCATGAAAAAATGCATGAATTTCGCTATCGGTCACCATTAAGCTGTAGGGTAGATAACTGTATGCAAGGAACGACCACAAACGCCTAACAACATGCTTATGTTAATCCTAGGTTTACTTACAATGACTGGCATCTGTACGACCCCTGAGTGGCGTCATTACACGTGCACCGCAGGTCACAGCCAACCGCCCATGTCTGACCCTGGTAGTAGTTGTTGCCGTTGTAGACGCACACATCTACAATGAGGAAATCCAGAGATAGTGACCAACACACACACGTAGTATATCCATAGGACAGTGACTAACGCATATTCGTAGAATAAGACAATAAGAATATCCAGAGATAGTGACCAACACACACACGTAGTATATCCATAGGACAGTGACCAACGCATATTCGTAGAATAAGACAATAAGGATATCCAGAGATAGTGACCAACACACACACGTAGTATATCCATAGGACAGTGACCAACGCATATTCGTAGAATAAGACAATAAGGATATCCAGAGATAGTGACCAACACACACACGTAGTATATCCATAGGACAGTGACTAACGCATATTCGTAGAATAAGACAATAAGGATATCCAGAGATAGTGACCAACACACACACGTAGTATATCCATAGGACAGTGACCAACGCATATTCGTAGAATAAGACAATAAGGATATCCAGAGATAGTGACCAACACACACACGTAGTATATCCATAGGACAGTGACCAACGCATATTCGTAGAATAAGACAATAAGGATATCCAGAGATAGTGACCAACACACACACGTAGTATATCCATAGGACAGTGACTAACGCATATTCGTAGAATAAGACAATAAGGATATCCAGAGATAGTGACCAACACACACACGTAGTATATCCATAGGACAGTGACCAACGCATATTCGTAGAATAAGACAATAAGGATATCCAGAGATAGTGACCAACACACACACGTAGTATATCCATAGGACAGTGACCAACGCATATTCGTAGAATAAGACAATAAGGATATCCAGAGATAGTGACCAACACACACGTAGTATATCCATAGGACAGTGACCAACGCATAATCGTAGAATAAGAAAATCCAAAGATTTTAAAACGCACACGTACGCACACATCTACAATAAGAGATCGAAAGAAAGTGACCAACACACACAAGTAGTTGGTTGGTTTGTTGTTTAACGCCGCGCTAAGCAATGTTCCAGCTATATGACGGCGGTCTGTAGATAATCGAGGCTGGACCAGACAATCCAGTGATTAATATCATAAGCATCGATACACGCAATTAGGATCGATTATATGCATCAACCAAGTCAGCGAGCCTGGCCACCCGATCCCGTCAGTCGCCTCTTACGACAAGCATACTCACCTTTTATGGCAAGCACACACAAGTAGTGACTCCATAGACCGTGACCAACGCATATCGGCGGTGAGGGTCACAGTTAGGGTCATTTCATGTGAAAGTAAAAAGCTTCACCACTGTTGTGATAAGAAAAAGTAGACATGTAGTAGGACTGACAATGTGCACGTGGCTGTGTGTACGTCTAGTAAGACAGACAGTGTGATCATGTACACATGTACTGGGAATGGGTATGAGCGTGAATGTACAAGGATTGACTCTGTATAAACGTGTGCTAGGAATGACATTGTGACTATGTGAGTGTGAATGTACAAGGATTGTCAGTGTATACGCATGTGCTAGGAATGACATGGTGACTGTGTGAGTGTGCATGTACAAGGATTGTCAGTGTATACGTATGTGCTAGGAATGACATGGTGACTGTGTGAGTGTGCATGTACAAGGATTGTCAGTGTATACGTATGTGCTAGGAATGACATGGTGACTATGTGAGTGTGAATGTACAAGGATTGTCAGTGTACACATATGTGCTAGGAATGACATTGTGACAGTGTGAGTATGTATGTACAAGGATTGACAGTGTATAAATATGTGCTAGGAATGACATTGTGACTGTGTGAGTGTGAATGTACAAGGATTGACAGTGTATAAATATGTGCTAGGAATGACATTGTGACTGTGTGAGTATGTATGTACAAGGATTGACAGTGTATAAACATGTGCTGGGAACTTTTAATGTGCCCCGGTTTGAGCGTGTACACGTTACTTACTGACTCCAGCAGCCGTTGTCCCGAGGGCTGACCCCTGAGAGGTCACGACCTTCTTATTGAAGTCACAGACAGGCTGCAGACAACACTGCCCGGGGGTGGACACCAGGGTGCATGCCGGGGGGAGACTGTTGTATATAGGGCACCTGAGGGGGACAAGGAACACATGTTGAGTCAACCTACCGTGGCTTTGTTTGTTTGTTGTTTAACGCCGCACTCACCAATATTCCAGCTATATGACGGGGGTCGGTAAATAATCGAGTCTGGACCGAATAATCCAGTGATTAACATCATGAGCATCGATCCACGCAATTGGGATACGATTACATGCATCAACCAAGTCAGCGAGCCTGACCACCCGATCCCGTTAGTCGCCTCTTGCGACAAGTATGGGTTGCTAAAGACCTATTCTATCCCGGATCTTAGTAGTAATAGTAATAGTAGAAGTAGTAGTAGTAGTAGATGGAAGTAGTAGTAGTAGTAGTAGTAGTAGTAAATGGAAGTAGTAGTAGTAGTAGTAGGAGTAGGTGGAAGTAGTAATAGTAGTAGAAGTAGCAGTGGTAGTAGTAGTAGTAGTAGTAGTAGTAGTAGTAGTAGTAGTAGTAGTAGTAGTAGAAGTAGTAGTAGATGGAAGAAGTAGTAGTAGTAGTAGTGGTAGTAGCAGGGGTAGTAGTAGTATTAGTAGTAGTAGTAGTAGTAGTAGCAGTAGTAGTAGTAGCAATAGAAGCTGTAGTAGTAGATGGAAGTAATAGTAGGAGTAGTCATGGTGGTGGTGGTAGTAGTAGTAGTAGTAGTAGTAGCAGTAGTAGCTGTAGTAGTAGTAGATGGAAGTAGTAGTAGTAGTCGTCATGGTTGTGGTAGTAGTAGTAGTAGTAGTAGTAGTAGTAGCAGTAGTAGTAGTAGTAGTAGTAGTAGTAGTAGTAGATGGAAGTAGATGGAAGTAGTAATAGTAGTAGTAGTCATGGTAGTGGTAGTGGTAGCAGGTGTGGTTATACATACTTGTTTGTACACTTGTAGGTTCCAGTCGCGCCGTCCACGCACTCACAGTCGTAGCTGCAGCCGTCCTCCCATTTTTCTCCTTGATTGTAAGTCTTCCCTTTGTAGGAGCACTGGCCATCTGCAGAAAGTAGTAGCACATATGTTTTAGCAGCAGCAGGACACGTGTAATAGAACCAAAAGGACACGTGTAATAACACCAGCAGGACTCGTGCAATCACACCAACAGGGCACGTGTAATAGCACCAGCAGGACACGTGTAATAGCACCAGCAGGACACGTTTAATAACACCAGCAGGACTCGTGCAATCACACCAGCAGGGCACGTGTAATAGCACCAGCAGGACACGCGTAATAGAACCAACAGGACACGTGTAATAACACCAGCAGGACACGTGCAATCACACCAGCAGGGTGCGTGTAATAGCACCAGCAGGACACGTGTAATAGAACCAACAGGACACGTGTACAGCATCAGGACGCATTTAATTGCACCAGAAGGACACGTGTAACAGCAGCAGTAACACACATACCATAGAAGGTGGTGAACTGCATAGCACTGCACGTTACATGCAACTACGTACGTTATGGAAGGTTGTTTCTGTTCAGTAACAGTTCATTATGTGAACTGTGTAAAACAAAATGTCCACGTGTCATAGAATAATTCTTTTGAGAATATATACTCGGTAGAGCACTAGATCAGATACAAAATATACATTAAGAAAAATATACAGACAATAGAGCAATATATAGTCAATAGAAGTTTCTGTGGAAACCAATGTATTTAGTCCATAGAAACATATATCGTGAATGGAATTATATACAGTCAGTTGAACATTGAACAAAGGTCCATATTGTCACTTTAAGAATATGTAGTTATGGAACCATATGTTGTCAATAAAATTTAATATAGTCATTGCAACCAAATATGGTCAACAGAATTAACAGAAGCACCAGCACAGGTCTAAAAGAAGATGTTTTGGTGCATACATCTGCCAGAGAGACCGTTTGAAGTATTCGATGCATTTTATTACGATTTTCTAACCATTTTAAACAATAAAGCGCTTTAGCTTATACTTACAGAACCCAGTCGACTGAATATCTGGAAACAGAAAGGTTTATGTTCTAAAAATTTAAGCAATAAGCTTGACTTGCTTGTTTTGTTCATTTCTACCTAAAACGAAATGTCGACCCATCTTCACATTCATCCACTGAAGAAAAAGGATAGTATCATAACATGACGACATGGCGAGTGAGGGAGTGGTGTTTTACATCACTGTGACATACAAGTATATCAAGGCCACATGCAAAGTGTTTAAGTATCGATGGATTGGTAATGTTGAGAGATTCATCAAATCATCTTGGCCAAAGTGTCATCATGCCCTATATCGTCTACTGTTCTCCTGCTTCCTGTCACCTGTTTACATATAGCTGGAATATTGATGCGGCATTCACCAACATTCATTCATTCTACATTTGTTGAGACCGCATCTGTGGTTCGTGGCACGGGCCAGCAATTAAAACCGGCATAATTCCCAACTAGTAGAAGCAGACACACAACAAAACACACACACACACACACACACACACACACACACACACACACACACACACACACACACACACACACAAAATCACTCAATCACACAAAATCACTCAATCACACACACAAAATCACTCAATCACACACAAAATCACTCAATCACACACACACACAATCACTCAATCACACACACACACAATCACTCAATCACACACACACAATCACTCAATCACACACACACAATCACTCAATCACACACACACACACAATCACTCAATCACTCAATCACACACACACAATCACACACACACAATCACATACAATCACACAACACACTCACTCACACACAATCACACACACACACATACAATCACACAACACACTCACACATACACACCACTCAATCACACACACACACACACACACACACACAATCACACACACAATCACACATACACTCGCAGAGTACAATAATGTTAAACCCACTTTCAATTTACACCACATTTGTTGACAGTCACTGGCTTTTCGGTATTGATATCCGGTACAAAGAATCTGTAACTCTATTTGAGATCATACTTACGACAGAAGCCACAGTACTTGCGACAGTTCTCATGAGCCCAGGGAGCGTACTTGGTGCACGCGTCCAGGCCGTACTCCGGACAGTTCGTCAGACTATCCTCACAAGCTGGGGGAGCAGTAGTGTGCAGTGCTGGAACAATCATTCAACACTGAAGCCATTGATGAACAGAGAGTGTCAGCTCTTTGGACACCTTGTGGCCATTGCATTCATTATTCGTTCCATTCCTTCTTTAATTCGGAAATATTACCATTCATGTTCATTTGTCAGGGTGTCATGTGAATACATGTTGGTGTAGAAGTAGCAATCATTAAAAGGAGAAAACATTTTGCCACATTTGATATTGAAATCTATGGGCTTATATCTCCGTGTTAAAATTCCTACAGTGATGCGACCATCAAATAGCCATTTTAAATAGTGGCATGTCTTTGTGGATTGTGCAGGAATTCATAATAATTCTTGTCTGTATCAGCAATTTTCTTTGAATATAAAGAGTCATCAGAGAACAACATGTTTAAACCATTCCATGCAGAGGCAATGAGAATGGCTATGCACTTGCACGGGGAACTTACAAAGATTGCAGGTCAGACTTACGTTTACATATTCCACAGTATGCTGCACAGTTGTCCTTGGACCAGTCGCTATATTGCGTACACACGGAGCTTGGGTACTTCGTGCAGTCGGTTTGGTCCACGCATGTTTCAACTGAAAAATGGACAACTACGTTTCAACAAACGCGCAGCTGACACGGAAACGTGTACCATAACATCGCGCCATTAAAAGCAATTAAATTAATATAATTCCAGCCTTAAAGTTCTGGCCATCTCAGGCCCAGTGAAAGGCTTGCTTGGAGAGACAGGTGTGTCAATATGTTTTTTTACGTTTTTGTATGAATTTTCGGATTTTCATATTTCCGATGGGATCGACCGTAGATTGTTCCATAGCACTGGGCCACCATGTTGGGATGATCTGTTACCATATGTTGTGCTACGTGACTTTGGACTGCAGGAGATGACCTTCAGATCGGATTAAACTAAATGCAATCAGTATTTACAAGCATAGTTTTGTCTTCAGATGGGATTAAACTAAATGCAATCAGTATTTACAAGCATAGTTTTGTCTTCAGATCGGATTAAACTAAATGCAATCAGTATTTACAAGCATAGTTTTGTCTTCAGATCGGATTAAACTAAATGCAATCAGTATTTACAAGCATAGTTTTGTCTTCAGATGGGATTAAACTAAATGCAATCAGTATTTACAAGCATAGTTTTGTCTTTCAAGTGTCTGACTGTAACATGATTACACCAAAGTTTATTATGTGTGCATTAAGAGTACTGAAACTATATGAATGGTTTCTTCTGTGATAAGATCGACGACAGCTGGAACCATGTGTTAGATGTTTTAACGGTTACCACAAGTGATAACGTCAGTAACAGCACTTCACATTTTCCCACTCTTAACCAAGTATTCAAGAATAGTTTATTCTGACATTTGCAATCAGAAATTAAGTTGTCATTAGTTTTAGCATATTATTCTAAATGTGACTTATATCAAAAACTAAGAAAAAAAACATTGTTCAGCGATTGTTTTCCAGTGTATGAGATTTGTACATTGCTATCGCCACAAAGGAATTTGCTCGAAACCATCTCCGTGTGTATGCCACTCACTGGATGTCGAAATATATTGTACCGAGGGCCAATGTCTGGACATAAACTGCATCCACGCCAAGAATACATATATCATAGGCGTGTTGGTGTGTAACGCTTTGTTGTATTCGATGTGATTTATATGCTTTTGGTTCGTTATTCACAGAAAAAAACCTTATATATCAGTATATATTACTTCAGGATTCTAACTTACCGGTAGGTGCCGCTCTTTTTTCTGGAACAAAAAAAATTGCATTTGTTAATGATCATTTGCTTCGGTGTCATTGCATTAAATAAAACCAAATAAAACGTCGATCTTTGAAACGGCATAAGGACATATGATTAGTTTGGGTTCTGAAATAAAATTGCTTTCAATTTTGATTAACTTCTTGTGCATTCTACAAAACATCGTATCAACATTTATGAAAGATATTTAAAAAATGTTTATTATTTAATGAGGTCTTTGTTGTTGTTTTTGTTGTTGTTGTCGTAAAGTTACAAGATACAGCAAGTACTTATAAATAGGACCTGGGGCAAAGCTAGATAACGCATTACGTGTATATGAACAGTGACCCACACTGAGGCACACCTCTGACCTTCCTTGTCTATCTATACTGAGAGATACACCAACTGTTTTATTGTAATCTAGAAGTTTCTAAAACAACATATGTTGCCATTACTTGTCCTGACTAATTGTACACTAAATATGTTCCAACTGTATATATAGTACAAATAAAACTGCGTACCATGTAGGTGGTTAGGTGCATCTTCAGAAAAATAGTGTAAAGCGTGTTTTTTATATGTTGAATATAATTGAAATATATTAAACTACCTTCAATTCTAATTATTAAACGCTACAAAACCGTGTACACAATCATACGAAATTGCTGCTAAAACAGAGTTCATTGTATGAATATGATTTTGTCATAAGCATTAGTTTATGAATCACTATCAAATAGTGATGATACCAAATGTTCGCTATAAATACCTTCTTATGTTCGCCTTATGTTAAGAAACTAGCATTTTAATATCCATGGGTACATATCAAGTAAACCCTCAAAATACAGTAGATATAAATCCCCATAACATTTTTCTATCGACGTCTTAAATGTTTTCATTTTAATCGGATGTATTGGCTTTAATTTGGAACCACGAAAAGGGTTAACAATAATCCTTTAAATTGTGATAAATGACACATTTGAGTTGCTACATGTATTGAATGTAGTTGCTACATTTTAAATAAATTGTATTAGTATCTAACATTTTTTTAAATAAAAAGATCACTTACCTTGATCTTCCTTTTTTCTTACTGTCGACGCCTGGGTGGCGACAATGAGAGTCAGGGCTATACAAAGGCCCCTGTTCATGATGGCTTTCTGATGCACTCTGACATCTCGCCGCAATTCTCGCGGTATTATACGAAAACGTCACGTGACACCTGGGTTACTTTCCGGTTCCAGTTTGTTACCAAGATTACTTAACTGAGTGAAACACAAGGGAGATAACTCATGATCAGTTAAATGAACCTATTAATTATTTATTAAGTTTGTGTGGATATTTGGATATTTGAAATATCTTTAAAATACACGTTGTAGTGTGATATTTTACATGCACACATTTCAAAAGAATATATAATGCTTTTCCTTTTTTGTAATGATGGAAAAGGGAGACGAATGCTTAATGAAAAAATATATGTATTTTTTATCACTAATTTTTTTTTTTTATCTCTGCACGTTATCAAATCACCTCCCACACATGGGTCACAGTTCGGCACGCTATCTCAAAGACAACCAGTTAAAGCTGTTGTTTAAGCTTACTTTCACACAATTGTTTCTGTTTGTGTATTCTTGTTTACATCCGTGGAAAGATTCAACTCAATGTAGTTATCCGTAATGGAATTAGTGGGGTAAGCGTAGAATTGCTGTACGTGTGTGAGAGCATCGAGAAATAACTGCACTTACTGTCACAACCATATTTCCTAGATGTAAAATTCTTACATAATCGATACTGCCATTCTCGATTTATGTCATCCGCGTAATGTTTCCTTTCTCCATAAATGTCACACATGCATTATTGCCGTTCTGATACCTGTCACCCATGCATTATTGCCTTTCACTATACTTGTCACCCACGCATTATTGCCGTTCTGATACTTGTCACCGACGCATTATTGCCTTTCACTATACTTGTCACCCACGCATTATTGCCGTTCTGATACTTGTCACCGACGCATTATTGCCTTTCTCTATACTTGTCACCCACGCATTATTGCCGTTCTGATACTTGTCACCGACGCATTATTGCCTTTCAATATACTTGTCACCCACGCATTATTGCCGTTCTGATACTTGTCACCCACGCATTATTGCCTTTCTCTATACTTGTCACCCACGCATTATTGCCGTTCTGATACTTGTCACCCACGCATTATTGCCTTTCTCTATACTTGTCACCCACGCATTATTGCCGTTCTGCTACTTGTCACCCACGCATTATTGCCTTTCTCTATACTTGTCACCCACGCATTATTGTCGTCCTGATACTTGTCACCAACGCATTAGTGACTTTCTCTATACTTGTCACCCACGCATTATTGTCGTCCTGATACTTGTCACCAACGCATTAGTGACTTTCTCTATACTTGTCACCCACGCATTAGTGACTTTCTCTATACTTGTCACCCACGCATTAGTGACTTTCTCGATATATGCCACCTACACATTGCTACTTTTCTAAATACATGTTCGTAATAAATATATTGTTTCATATAATTTTTTTGATATTTTGGTTTTTACACCCAATGGAACTGTTTCGGCAGATAATGGAGACTGGTGTTTCTCTTGTGTTGACGTTTTGAATTCTAGAACGTACGTGTACCTCTCGTGTCGACTCCATGGCAGTTGACTTCCAAACAAAACAGTTCAACTACATCGTTGCAGGACATGAGTGATTTCTATTTTTTCGTGGAAAACATAAAGAACTAGGTCATCGCGAGGTCATTGCAGAGAGTCATGGGAATGGAACATTGTCATATTTTGGATACATCGTACAAAATGTCTCAATAAAACGTAATTATTTCTTTGAACATAGTAATGATTAATCTAGGCAACGTCGCATAACGAGAATGGCAAGGAATGCATAGCTGTTACAGTGTGGACAGGGTGACCCATTATCACTCGCCCACACGGACAGGTGTTTTCTATTACACACACACTCATGACATGCAGAATTAAAAATATATTCAACAAACATATGTTTCTTTATATACACGCTCATTATTAAAAATATATTATTTTATTAACACAATAATATATTTTTATATTCTTCTATAACATAACACAACATCATATAATATAATTAACGATTGTCGACATACAATGTATTCGCTGTAACTGTAAACAAAGCTTTTAGTACTATATGTCCATATATCTATCATCCGTCGCACTACATTTTTCACACCAAATATTGGAAAAACAAAACATCAATCGTGGAATGACAAAATAGACAATAATGTCATGACACAAGAACACATCTAATGCTAGGTGGGCATATTTTCCCTTCCGATAGAATGTACAGTAAAATTACGTAAAAATATACATTGTACATGTGTGTTAAAGAAGGCTTTACCTTTTTCGTGTAATAATTCAAATAAAAGCGCAAAATTTCCATAGTCATAAGACTTCCCTGCTAAAGGAAAAGTGAATACCACGTTTCCGACTATATCACGACCATGTGTTCATGACTCAATAGCATCAAATAATCACTATTAAAAAATGGGCTTATCCTGCCGGCAAAGGCAAAGGCTAATCAGTTGTTTGTTCACCCGAACAAACACGGGGACATATGGCCCAAGTCAAAACAGCGAATTGCTAGGGACACCATATTGGTCACTGATGCGTCATACTTGGAAGCGTCCTCCAAACAAACTTAGAAAGCATAGTGATGGCCGGTTTAACGTCAAGAGACACATCTTCTTGCTCGAATCTAGAGTAATAATATGTTAGTTGCGTACACTCAAACATCTTAATCATTGATTATCTGTACACAACACCCGATACCTTTAATTGCTAAAATAGTATTCCCATTTTGTAAGGACGCGTATGAACTTTAGTGCAATAATAACCTTGAATTACCTCTTTATAACACACTTTCTTAGTTTAGTGGGGCATGGGTGGCCCAGTAGCTTAAGGCGCCGCAATTCGCTGTGCAGAGTTGGGTCCTTTGGGCCCGCCAGAAACCTATGATTGTGGGTTCTAATCTCTCTTCGCCCCGATTATGGTTCTAGGTTTGTCAGCACCATACCCGTACTCGTTGGTTTCACCCAGTGGTAAACGTCTGAGACCTTCATCAAATCGGGCTTTGCTCCCACAATAAACTGATACGCCTTGATATAACTGGAATACTGTTCAAAGCGGCATTAAACCCAACTTACTCACTTCTTAGTTAAGTAAACATTCTATTACTTTTTTGGGTTGACTCCCATCCGGGATTGGAACCCGCACTCCCAGAGTGAGGCCCCTAATCACCAGCACATGTACAAAAATCACTCTTTTTTAATATGAATAAAACACACACGCACGAAAGTTCTCCCAATACATGTACATGTGCTAGGCTATGGGATGTCTTCCAGTGCAAATGCGGGATGTACACAGTATTTATACGATCTATGACAACCGCGACTGTTCCCGTACTTCCGTGATTGTCTTCAAACCTGTTAACGGGTGGGTGGGGTAGCCTAGTGGTTGAAGCGTTCGCTCGTCACGCCAAAGCCCCGGGTTCGATTCCCCTCATGGGTACATTTGTAGCCCATGCCCGGTGTCCCACGCCGTGATATTGCTGGAATATTGCTGAAAGCGGCGTAAAACCATACTCACTTACTCATACCGGTTAACACTAACATCATTCTTATGCTCATACATCATTATCTGTGTGTATTCAGCTAGCTTGTTACGTCTTTCGTCAATTCATATTGCATGATTTCAATAATAACTGCAAATATTATTGACAGGTGCGCATGAGGAACTACACACACTGAGTCATCCAGAGTGATAGTAAACTAATAGAAGTAAGATAAAATACTCAAAGCCAGCTGGTCGACATTATTTATATAAAAAGTGATACTTGTAATATGTAACTATGACTAGACTTTAGAGATAATCACAACCTATCTGCCCACCCACGCTCACACGCCAGGCGGTCAACGCGACTACTTTCGCACACCACCGACGTGAATTGTTCCTTTAAGGTTAGTTTAGCTTCTAGAACTATACTTGACAACAGGCACAGACTGGTACCAGTGATAATGCCGAGAATATTACGAAGGCACAAAAAGCTTCTTCTATAAAGTTTTGAGCGTATTCATTGTATGAGCATAACAGAAATGGGCTTCAGACATCGTCATCTCGTTGGACAGAACCCAGACCTTCGGGATGACACTCTACAAACTATGCTTCCCCATTGCTTTATATTTTCATACTACACGATTTGTGAGTCTTAAATTTCATTGCGATGTAGGCACAAACACCTGACCGTGGAGACAATCTACCCACAGACGGGACACAAACACCTATAATGGGTAGGTGTGGGGTGTGGATGGGGTCCTGGTGGTGGTGCGGGGTGGTGAGTGAAGGCATTCTTCCTGTATGACCACAGGAGCAACAGCAGCATCGCTATTGCGTTCAAAGTCCATATTTCTCAACGCGCCAGCATTGGAATCTATGCGGAAGTACCTTCTCTCAGTTACCTCTGAACAGATACATTTCCTTTTTCTGCCATTGCCGGGACATATTTCTATGTTGGTTCTTGCCACACACCGTCAACAGACGAGAGTTCAGGTCAGCTTTAGAGGTCAAGTGAAGCGAAAAATATTGCGATTTTTTTTAAAAACATCAATTGTCCTCTGTATATTAAATAAATTTCCGAGGAGAAAACATTCAAAACATTTTCAGAAAGTATTTAATTGTCTAAGTGAAAATGTTGAAATAACACTTTCCTTAATCGGCTTCTAAAATAAACAAAAGATACCGGCGTGGTATGTGGTGCGTGTCAAAGGCTTTCATTTGGTGGTGTGAGATATGTGCAATATAATGCAATAATCTTGGCCGCGACGTTAAACCCCATTTCACCTCACCTCACTTGTACCGGCGGATGCTTCCAACACATAGATAACGATTTGCAAACCAAGAATACACAATATATGCGCTTTTCCTTCATATCTCAAATAAACATGATGCACAGTCAAACTAAAGTGAAACACCATTGTGAATAGATGTAATTATTTGGAAATAAACTGTAAGTCGACCTGAGCATATTCCACAGAGGAATGCTGTTTTTTTGTCTGAAATTCCTTTTATAGCTCAAACGTACTAAATGAT